GTCAACCACACGACGAAGACGCGCGATATGAAGCGGTCCTTGTTGGGATAAGACGTACTACGAGCGATCCTTTTGGACCTCATGGTCAGTACTCCGCATATCCGTACTGACGATTATATTGCTGGATGGAGCGGCTTGTTGCATTTCATTTCCAGTAGATATAGATTAATTGTTTATTTCTTTATTTTTTTTCTTAAAAATCCAGTTAATTAGATTGCACAGATGGTTTTATATATGATCTTCATTTTGGACGTCAACGAAATTACAGGAGAGTGAATCGTGTTAGCCTAGATAAAGTATGGTTGGGCTAGTTTGCCCATATAAATATAGTTTCCGTTTGGTCCACTATGAACTCTGCTTGTCTACCTACCCCACCACCACCACCCTTTTCTCTCCCTTGGTGAATAATCCAACTTTTTTTTTCGCGAAATACATTACAGACGGAGACACTCATATATACAAACGTGCGCATGTACCCTATATATCTCTATGAAATATACAAAAATGCCAATAAGGAGTACATGACATAAAAATTGCAAATTAGCTCCATCAGCATAGACTACGACCTTCTTTTTTGAAAGTCATGGGGATACGCAAATGCAAAGCATTCGAGTGGCTAGTTATCTACTCCCTCCTTCCCTAAATGTTTGACGCCGTTGACTTTTTTAAACATGCTTGACCGTTCGTCTTATTCAAAAACTTTTATGAAATATGTAAAACTATATGTATACATAAAGTATATTTAACAGTGAATCAAATGATAGAAAAAGAATTAATAATTACTTAAATTTTTTGAATAAGACGAACGGTCAAATATGTTTAAAAAAGTCAACGGCGTTAAACATTTGGGGATGGAGGGAGTAATATAGAATTTGGACGGAGGACACATAAACTACTATTGCCCTCTCTGCAAATATACCTTCGAAACTTACTTCCATCTCCACACGAAAGGCAGATACACAAGTATCTGGAACATATTAGCAACTTGGATCGGCTGCGAGGAGGGACTTCTGAAAGGTTACAAATACGGTGCACAAGTACGTGGAGTGCCCACCTAAAGGTCCTGTCTAGACCTATGATGGTGAGGCGAAGACTGAGGCACAGTTACACGCTGTTCTATTATGAGCATGAATGGGATGATGTTGCGTGCCGGGCGGCTGGCTTGGGTCGCTGTGTGTCAACCTCGGACGACCCAATAGATAGTGGAACCCGATTAGAGCAAGGATAATAGTGAGATATGCTTATGTGGAGGAGAGAGAAAAAAAGGTGTTGGCTCTCATGCAAGAGCTAGCTTTGCACGTGCTCCAAGACAAATACATTAAATGTATAAATGAGAGAAAATAATCTTAGAGCTAGCTCTGCACGTGCTGTTTTTCGGAAAAACCCCTTTATTTTTTATCTTTATAGCGCTACCTCTAGAAGCGGAATTTTCTTTTCTTCGCATTGTATTTCTGTGAAATAGGAGGGCTTTTTCAGAACAAACACAACAGGGTGTTGTCCAGTCTGAGGACATATGCGATATTTTGTGCAAATACGAGGAGTTTTTTTTTTTTTTGCAAAATAGCCTTTTAATGAAACCGGCTCCAACCCACGGTGCAGACCCATAGCGCCTAAAATTGCGTTTGGCCGGTTACCGCCTACAAGCGGTCACTCGTGCGCGCGCGAGGAGCCAACTACAGCAAATGGGCGACGTGTAAATTTACGGGATAGCTAAAAAATAAAAAACATGAGAAAAAGGGTACGGTTAGGCTGGTTATTGATTGATGATACCCCATCTACCATGGGGCATAGAGAGAAACAACCAAGCAAGTGGTTGTGCCGGCTCAGGTACGCACGGAGCCCAGCATTGAGACCTCATACATCTACAACAGTTGGTATATATAAGCAGTAGATGGAAATACATTGAAATCCCTAAGTTAAGGAGCTGCAAAGACAGATGAAGTAGCACTGCAAAACAAATGTCCCTCTTAGGAGGATGAAATGGACTACATAAACACGAGTTTCTTAGTGCCCAAATATATCAACCACAAAGTTCTGTAATTGAGCATAGCTGCCCCTGATTTTAGATATGCAGACCACAGTGAATGATTTTCTTACAAGTTCCAAGCTAAGATCATTCTACAGTTAAACTCATGATCTCACCATAATACGCTGGGTTTTCTCTGGGTTGACAAATACACTGATTATATTCATGAAAATCATTAAGCAGTGCAATACTACCTACATGACTCAGCGACACACAGAAGGCAACGACGGACGAAGTTATGGCAGAAACACTCTTAATTTTGTAAGTGTTTTTGTATTTGGAAGATCAACAAATCTTCTTTTGGATAGGGAAGGTCAACAAATCATTTGCTCAAGCTTAATGTTCTCGCAATATCTTCTCATTGTAAGTGATAAAACGAAACCTGTTAGAAACTTCCGTTTGAAAGAACATGTTATTGACCCTAAGGAAAGAATGTGGTATTGAAGCATTCCAATCAACACAATAAGTTATTAAACAGTTGCTATGATCACAAAAATGTTCGTTCTTTTAGAAATCAAGGTACAAAGGAAAATATCTGGTTTCATGTTGGAGACATGGCAGCATCTGATTCATATTCATGCGGATAAATCAGTTATCACATCTTCTGATTATGTAGAGCTTGTTTTTATACACTCAACAAGCTGCAACCAAATGTCAGTTCGACCAAAGTGTTCTGCTCACATTTCCTAATTAAGTATGTCCCTGTTTCAGCTAATATATAAAAGAGCACTCTATAAAGCAACCAACCTCATCCTCAGTTTTTGTGATTTCTGAAATTTGCTTCTTTCCTCTAAGAAGCGGCTAAGTTCAATCCCTAAGATTGAACCAGATTATCAAATGAGAGACACGCCAAGATGTGTTAGCTGCTCGATTTACACGGTTTCTCTAGAATTTATGTTAGCCGTACAAAAGAAAATTAACCAGTTGTATTAGCACTATCAGTTGTATTATCACTGTGTAATTAAGTACACCTCTGAAAACCTGGCGAATTTTGTTTCACATTTACCTGCCCCTGCAGAGAATTGTGGTGTTGAGATTGCTTGAAGTAGGTCGAGGTAAGTAATTATCTGAAACATGAATAATAGCACGTACAGTTTTGCATCAATTTAGGGTTGAATTAACATTACGATCAAGAGCTGGTGGCGGAAGTAGGGCCACCAGGGGCGTAACCGCCACTCTGTGCTGCAAGGACGGAGCGACGTACGCATGGCGAGATGAGGCGAGGTGGTTGGCAAAGAAGACGCGGCGTTGATTGAACCGCTCCTTGCCGGCCGTCCAAGTGGTGAAAGGCGGACGGCGGAGGTCGGCGCGAGGACCAGCAGATTCAAGTGCAGGTTTAGCATCGACGGCAGATCAACCGGTGGCCGGCAATTGAGCGGGGTGCGGGAGTGGAGGCAATCCAGCCGGGTTCACTCGACGATAATGACTTGAAGCCGGCGACGGCGCGGTGGAAGAGCCGTTAGCGAGGGAAGAGAGGATGTGGCGCTGCGGGTGGGGGGCGCGGTGGCACGATGGTCGGCGAATCGCGGGCATGGGCGGGTTGGAGATTGGTGGCGGCGATTATGGAGTCGGACTCGGGAGGGGAAGGGGAACCTGCGGGGTAGGAAGAGGTTGGAGGTGGGATGAATCTCAAGCATTGGATTTAATATGGACAATTTGAACCATTGCATTGAGTGATGAATGAAAGATAGATAAATAGATAGATAGGCATAGAGAAAATTCCTATATACCCTTAAAAATTTACTCAATCCCTTTAATACCCCTGAATTTGACCTCATCCCTTATATACCCCTGAGTTTTCATTTTGATCTTCTCTATACCCATCTCCGTTAGTTAACCATTAGTTGACCGTTAAATATTTTAAAATGACTATATTACCCATCCTATACATATGTGGTACCTACCCAATAAATTTTCATATGAAAAAATTAACTTATACAAAATACAAGCAATATAATCATTTGATGCCCAACTTAAAAAATAAAACTTATTATTTTTTATTTTTTAAAAAAAATGATTAAATCCATACATTAGTTTCACCAGAAAATTAAGAGCAAAAACTAAATGTTATTTAGGTTTAAATTTTTGGGAAGATATACGAAATTCATCAAATTTGATCTGAAATTTATTTAAAAATTTTAAATTTGTTTTCTAATTTGTGATAAACTAATTACATCCCCTTTGTTTTTTTACAACGAATCTTTTTTCACTAAATATTTGTTGAAAAGTAATTTTCAAATTTTATGCAGAACTTTTTTTACAATAAATCTTTTTTATTTTCATGAAATAATGTTTTGTTTTTAAAAATTCATAACAAATATTTAGTAACTTATTCCTTATTGGTTTTCACAACTCAAATAATGTACACATAAAACATTTCTAGCTTTTAACAATATACCAAGGACAATAAAGTAATTTCTTCAATAACTAACGGTCAAACTAATGGTCAACTAACGGAATGGGTATTTAAGGGATGCAAATAAAAACTCAGGGGGTATATAAGAGATCAAACAAATTTATGGGGCGTAGAAGGGATTGGGTGAAATTACAGGGGCATGTAGGTAATTGGCCCATAGGCATATGCTTGTGGTTATAGGGCTTGTTTGGTTCTTTACCCTACCAATTCATTGGTAGTGCCAAAGTCTAGGAAAATTTTGGCACTACCAAAATATTGGTAGGGTAAAATTATTTAGCTAACATTTGGATTGCTACCAATTTAAAGCCAAATTCTTATAGCATAGTGAAGAAACTTCTAGAATATGACCAAATATTTTAGGGGCAGTACCAAATATTTAGTCTCAATCCAAACTAACACACAAACTATTCAATTTGCCAATAAATTGGTAGGGTATGTTTTTGGCATCAAACCAAAACGGCCCATAGTTTTGTCAAGGTCTAAGATATAGAATAAGTTTAGTAAAAGGGGTAAAGTGTAAAAATTCCTGCCACCCCAATCACCCCAATCCTTCTCCCGGCCGTAGACCATTTCGTTCCGACGCGAGTAATTCCTCCCCACGGGCGGCGACTAGGGCGGCTAGGGTTCGTCGGGCGCCGCCGTGCCGGAGATCGCCTCTCGCCGCCGACACCCGGATCTCCGCCGCCGCCGGTCGCCCCAGGTTATCCCGCTCCCGCAGTCACCATCCCGTCTTCTCCGCCAGTCGCCTCACGCCCGGCCTGGACGCCCCGGAATCCATTGTCGGTCTCGCCCCGCCGACTGCCGTTGACGCCACTGGCTGAAGGTAATAAGCCGCTCACCTCTCCCTCTCCCCCTCCCCCTGCGAGCTCATGGATTTAATCCATTCGCTCGTGCGTGTTCTCCGTACTTGGGTGAACTAAACCTAGTTCGTGTTCTCCCTACTTAGGTGGAGTAAAATAGTTGAACGTTTGTTCTCTGTACAACAACTGTCACCTATCTTCTCATTTAGGAGCTTCGATTTATCCTAGAATGAACGGAACCAGCGGTTTTGGATGAGTTCAGTACTGTGGTACTCTTGTTCTCGTGGACGATTTAGAGGAGCCACTCCTGTTGAGAAGAATTATATTTCATAGTTCCCCGATGGTAATGAATCACTAGAGCCCGTATTTTGCTAGTATATATTGATTAACTTCCACAAATGTGAAGGATAATCATGGTGCATAGTTTTTGTATGTCAAGTTTTCTCAATCAGGTGGCAGCTGTATTGCTTGCTAGTAAAAATGTTGTGCTGATTGGTTGTTTTTAAAGGCGATACGCAGATTGGTTGCTTTTCTTAGATGAAATTCTGATTGGTTGCTAGACAAGCAGTTTGCCCTTCAAATGCTATGGCCCACCTGCAAACGCCCTAGAGTGCTTTGGTGCTCTAATCTAAATGACCTAGGAAAGGATTAGGATGCTGTTGCTTAAGTTGTTTGGGCTGCAATGGATACAAGTTAGTTAGGGCTGGAAATGATGATCTCCATTTTCAGAACATATAAGGCTGGGAATGGGCCTTGGCCTGTCACCAGGCCTTCAAATGGAGAATAGACAAACTATGTCGACTTATTAGTTGTGTTTTCTCTTGCTCTTCTTTTGTCTGTAAGTGTTGGGTGTTCTATTTGTTTTTATACGGAATTAATTGCACGCAAAAAACCGAGTGCTCACTTCTGCAACGTTCTAATGGTTGCGACCTTGGGTCGTTCTCCCGGTGGACTCGTACCACCAAATCCGCAACTGCCGCTGCACATTAATCACTTCCTCCTTGATTTTTCAATTTTAAAATTGAGGCCCCCCCACCCCCGTAAACGCCAATCAGATGGATCGGAATTCCTTAATTATTGCCGAATTATTATGGAATCCTATGGGTTGTTTGTCGTACAAAGCCCTTTGGAAACTTCATTTTGCTCAGCGGAGGACATGTGCTGGTTAGTTACATATGGAATTATAAGCAGGAAATCAGCTGCATTTTGCATTCTCGTTAGTAAGATTTTCTTTTTATATAAAAAAGAACCCATATTAGGACCGTTATCTCGTTCTCACCCCACAGATTGCGTATCTTCTGCTTCTTCTTCTTCTTTTTTTTGCTAAACTGTGAAATCATCGAGAAAATCCCAAATTTTTAATATCATTTTTACAGTTTAAGCTTCAAAACCTCCAATAACATGAATATAAATGTTTATCCATAAGATTTTTTTGTTAGTTCATTTGTTTTTTTGTCGCCTTATCAATGATAGTTCAAATGATTAGAGCTTAGCAATCCTTTTTTCAATTTATACTCTCATTTTCCACGTGTTTCCCGAATTGCTAAACGGTGTAATTTTCTTTTAAAAATGTTCCACAGGAATGCTACTTTAAAATTATATTATTTTTTATTTTAGTTAATAATTACTTAATCATGCGCAAATAAGATACATCGTTTTTTTTCGGGAGAAATGGGTTAGCAGCAATGTTGCAAGCTACTACATCCGTTTTAGATTATAAGCTATTTTGACTTTGATCAAAATTAATCTACTTTAAGTTTAATCAAGTTTATACATAAATATACTAATATCTACAACACTAAATTAGTTTCATTAAGCTTATAATTGAATATATTATTATAGTATATTTGTATTGCGTTGAATATGTGACTACTTTTCTAAATTTAATCAAATTTGAAACAATTTTACTTTAATCAAAGTCAAAATGACATATAATCTAAAATAGAGTGAGTATCTCTGTAGGGTGTGTTTGGATAATAGGAAATAGGGAGTGAGATTGGGATTGAAAATTGAATGAAGAGTTAGGATTAAATGAAAGAGAGAGAATAGATGGTTAGGATTTAAATATGTTTTTAGTAGGTGGGAAATCATTTCCATATCCTATTAGCCAAACACTGGCCTAAGCTAATACCAACATTCTTCAGGAGCTGGATGCAAATTTGGCAGACCAAGTCCAAAACACGACAGCCAGCAGCAGCAGCAGGACACCAACGCGACGCCACCACAGTATAACTCGACGCCCCCACTCGCTCTCTCCCCCAACCCAATGACAGCATCAGTATTCCAGTAGCAGCGGAGAGAGAGAGGGAGCGGCCAACCAAAAGCCCAAGCCAAGCCAACGCCGCGTCGCGTCTCAGCCAGCCAGCGAACTCCCCCCACCTCCGGCGGCCCGGCCCGGCCCGGCCCCGCCTCGCTCCCCGGCATCAGGTGATCCCCCCATCCCCTTCCCCGCCCCCTCCCCTCCCCGCGCGCAGCATTCGCAGATCGCATCTGGCTCGCTGGCCGCCCGGGCCCCGCTCTCGCTTCGCGTGTGATGTGATGTGATGTGATCTCTTCCCCCCATCTCTCGCGGCGGGATTTTCTGGGGGATTTTGGTTTTTTTTTTTTTTGTTTTTTCTTCTCGGGATTTATGGGGGTTGGATGGGATGAGATCTCGCTGCCGGACTTAGGGATGGAGTACAGCTGAAATGGCGCCGTCGGTGTAGTGTGTGTGTGTGTGTGTGGACAGCGTGCGGCGGTGTGGGGGTAGTTGTGAATTAGCGGTGGTCGTGGCGGCGGATTTGGAGGGGAGATCTAGCCCCCGCTCGGTGCTTCCTAGGTTTGTTTTCCTAGGTCGTGGACGGAATTGAGGAGGTACTGATTCGGATGAGGGTGTCGGTAGAATACGGCGTTCCGGACGACTTGCTGGTTGCTGCTTGTTGTTTCGGGTTGTTGAGTTGACTGTAGCTGAGTTGCTGATCCAGTTCGTTGTGAATTATGCGCTAATGCAGTGGTACTTCTCCATGATGATGATTTTGCCTTTTTGTTTCCCCTTACTATTACATGATTCCTCAGTACAAATGAGCAATCATTCGCTTTGTTTGCTTTGGAGTATGGATATTAGTGGCGGTTTAATTATTGTGGTACACAGTGGTGGAAGGATTGCAGAGTTATATATATACCTGGTGGAATTTGGATTAACGAGAGCTCAATAACAACCACATTGTGGTTGATTTGGTCACCTATAGTTTCCTATGAGCATCTGAGGGCTGACTAATTGCTGGACTTTAGAAATTAGAATAGCTGTTGTTGCTTATTGTATTTACATTGCTGTTGTTATATTGTTCCTATATGGATTTGTAGGCTACAGCTGTACCATATTTTAATTGAAAATGCTCCAATTACTTGTCAGATATGATTCACTAGCTGCATATGAAACTTTAGGAGAGGTCTGAGTTGTACATGGCCTTATTTTTCTACAATTTCTCTGCACAGGTGTGAATATGTCGGACAGTGCGTTGAAAGATCTGAATCTAGCTCAGTCAGCAGAGCTGGAGAAAACCAAGGACAGTTCTGCCAAGTCTTGCATCACCAAGCCTGTCTTGAATGGCAACAAATGCAACAATACGGAAGAAAATGCTCCACCTGTACTCCCTGATGCTGTGACTAATGGGTGTGAAGCTGGAAATGCAGATGTTGAGTATATTGATTCTGAGAGTCTGACAGATCTTGAAGATGCTGGTGCAACCCTTAGTGTATGCCACCAGATGTTTATATTCATGATCTTTTTTGTGCTTGGCATTTTTCTGATTGGACCAGCCCTAACATTTGATCATTTCTTACTGCTTGATAGACTTTAGTTGCAAGGTTGGATTCAAAAGACTGGGTTATGACATGTGAAGCTCTAAATAATGTTCGTCAGTTGGCAATATTTCACAAGGATAGATTGCAGGAACTTCTGTAAGTTGCTTACCTTGTTATTCAATCAAAAGGATCTTTGTTTTTGGGCAAATGTTACTTATCCATGCCTGAAGCTATAGAATTACATCATTCTCTGTATCTTAATTTTTGGATTTGAATTATAGGGAACCTCTAGTTCCTCTTATCATGAAATCTGTCTGAAGAAATTCATTCTGTTTTTTTTATTGGACCCAGGTTTATTCTCTTCGATTGCTTGTATCTCAAAACACTCAAGAATCCAAGGAGTGCTGCCTGTAAAGCTGCACTCATGACCTGTTCTAATCTTAATTTTTGGATTTGAATTACAGAGAGCCTCTAGTTCCTCTTATTGTGAAATCTGTCAAGAATCCAAGGAGTGCTGTCTGTAAAACCGCACTCATGACCTGCGCTGATATTTTCAAGGCATACGGTGACCTAATGGTTGACTCAATTGATCCACTGGTGTGTGTTTCTCAGTTCTCAAACTTCCATTCACAATTACACTAGTTCTTTTTCCTGTACTAACTACGCTATTTCTCAAAACATCTTTTCTGCCAAATTTGTTCTCAGTTAGTGCAGCTATTTCTGAAATCTTCACAAGATAAGCGTTTTGTCTGTGAAGCTGCTGAGGCAGCCCTCATATCGATGACAAGCTGGATCGCCCCTTCTGCTCTGTTGCCAAAAATGCAACCTTACCTTAAGAACAGGAATCCACGAATTCGAGCAAAAGCATCAATGTGCTTCAGCAAGAGCGTCCCAAGCTTGGTAAGTGAAAATCTCACCTGAAATTTATTTTAAGCAAACCGCTTTTGTTTTGCCTCAACTGTTATCTGATTATCTCCTAATTAACCTAGGAGAGGCCAAAGACAAACTCAACATAGGATTTAGCTCTCTTTTCTCACATTACAAGTACTCAATGAATATCTTAATTCGTGGTCTTGTTGGTTGGCTTAGAGTTAACACACAGTTTTCTCGACCTTTTTTAGTCTATTTAGATATGCAGATGCGGGATGAGGTTTCTGTATTATAAGACAGACCTGTAGCTTTTCCAAAACTATGGGCTAGTGTGTTTGGTAGAGATTCTATATGCCGAGAATAATTAGCTGACAAATGATTTTTACCTGTGGCCTTTTACTTCGAGGAACTTCATCTACCCTAAATTGCCTGGCCATTATTAGTAGTGTGACGGTATCTGGAATTTTTTTTTCTTAATTGGCTTTTATGTAGTTTGTATATCAATGGTTCCATGCTCTAACCAATGCTGATAACATCAGTTTTAGATGTTTTACTTAAATTGACCTATTTTGTTTCCAGGGTGTGGAGGGAATTAAAGAATATGGAATGGATAAGCTTGTTCAGATCGCAGCAACTCAGCTTAGTGACCAGCTTCCTGAATCCAGGGAGGCTGCTCGCAAGCTGGCTTTGGAGCTACAAGCATTCTATGAGAAATCCCAAGCTTCGAGTTCTGGTGAAGTTGACGACGCACCTGCTACCTCACCTGATGCTGATGCTGATGCTGGTGCTGAATCATGGGAAGCTTTCTGCCAATCAAAGCTTTCCCCATTAAGTGCACAGGCAATCCTTCGTGTCACCTCTACGACGAAAGAGGGTGTGGCTGTGGGTGTCACCTCTACCCCTCCGAAAGAAGGCGTCACTGTTGGTTGCTAGCATCAGGAGGTAGTAGATGCAATGAGGTTGTGGTTTTTCCATCCGATTCACCTTTTGCTGTACATGGTTATGGTTGTTCTTTCTCTACATCCAATCTGGGATTCGTTCGTTAAGCATCGGTTCGAGAGTTGAGGTGTGACCTGTGGGTGTTAATATTGGTGCGAGATATACCTGTTATAGTTGACCGTATGATCTTCCTTTTCTCCCACTGCTTGGTATTGATTGGTCAGGCGAATTGTAGAATTTCTTCCACTATTCAATATTACTACACAGTAATTTTTCCATCTCGTGGCCTTGTGTTTATTTGCTGGTGTTCACTATTTCGTGTTTTTGAATTCTAACTTCTTCCATTATTCAATATTATCGAATCAATTCTCATCAGTGCTTTCTTCCACTGGTTTCTATTTTACTGAAATTTTTATGCTGTTCTATGAGCAAGAAATAACTAACTGGGCTCAACCAACTGGTACTCCAAAGAACTGTGACTTGTGAAGTTTGATCACTGTACAGTTGTACATATGTCACAGACTCATAGTACACGTTAAACATCAGAGAACCCCAGATTATCACAGCTGCACGAAGATTAAGATGATCATGTATGCATGCGTCGCCGGCAACACATTCTGTGCACAGAGAAAAACTTGGACAAGAACATGCCAACAGCTAGCCCATCAGCCGGCGATCACCGCCGGCGACCGGCCTTGCCGCACCGGACGCTCAGCCAACGATCATCGGCGGCGGCGTCGCCGGAGCAACCAGCATGAGGTGCGCCGCCGGGTGCAGCCTGAACACCAGGCCGCCGGCGCACCCGACCGTCCTCTCCTCGGCCATCTCACGCTCGATCCTCGCCAGGACGGCGACGAACTCGCCGGCGTCGCAGGGGAGCTCGAGCGGGCCGTCCGCCACGTACCCGTACTCCTCCTCGGCCTCCTCCAGCAGCGCCCTGAACAGCGGGTGGTTCACGCACTCCGTCCTCACCACGAACCTCTCCCTCGCCGCCCCTCCGCCGCCGCCGCCGCCGCCGACGTACACCGCGAAGCTCCCCTCCGGCGGCTCCGGCCAGCCACCATTCCTGTGCTTGGACAAACACCTGTCCAGCAGGGCCTTCATGATCACTCCCTGCTTGTTCCTCACACCTCTCTCCTTCATCAACACAACAGCAAATTAACCAAAGCTTATCTGAACACAACTATCCTATCTAATTTACAACTTAGTGAAGGTTGGGTTGTATTAATTAGCTGATCAAGTGTTGCTAATTGCTATGGCCTTGTCCTTAAGTGACATCAGATCAAACTGAGATAAGATGGTTAGTGATCAAAGTTTTGGGAGGGGGTCAGCTAAGACCTGGCCTGAAGAAAGAGTGTTGCACTTGCACCCCTGCACCATATATAGACTGTACTGTGTGGGGCCTTCATTTTATTTTAATTATTTGGTGTGTGTGACAATTAGGAGTAAGATTGTATATTTGGTGTAGATGATGAGATCCTGTGGGTCTTTCCTAATCCTACCCATCATTAGATATTTAATCCATGGTTAGGTTAATTTTTACCATCTTGTCCTCATATTGCACAAGGGACCTGTTCTTGACAAGGGTTGTGTTGGCAAGATGGCACCATGTTTTGTGAAAACCAGATTATATTGCAAGGGTAAGTTAGTAATTTCACATCACGTTGAAGACCTTTGTGTACTTGACCGTGGTACCGGTTCAAAGTTTAGGATGGAATTGACAAAACTGAAAATTTGTTTAGTGTGAAGCTAAAATGGCTAATGCGAAACCAGAGGTTGGACAGGATTCCACCATCTCATTGTCAACCCACTTAATATCCAATGTCATCAGGGCAATAATACACATGTTAGTATAAGATCATAAGAAAAATGTCACTTTATTGGTTGCAAGTTGACTTGGAGCTCTGCATCGGTCAGCAAGTTTAAGTGAAACTCTCCAACCATGACTAGTTTACTCTAATGAATTTCCTTCTTCAGAATCTGCCTTTTCATTTCTGTCAGCTTGCATCGAGATCTGTCTGAAGGATTCAGAGAACGGCACATCGACATCCTAAATCTGCCCAAGGGTTTAACACCTAGATCAGTGCATGTCTTAATCCTGTGAGATTAGTTTAGAATTCTTGTCTTGATTAATGGTGCTCTAATGACACCTTGACCGACAATGAGCACCACTTGTCTTGATTTCTGTGGTGCAAAATGATACTAACAAACAATAGTAAAGTAAGGGTTAATTTGCGAGGTAGAGTAAAAGATTGTTCGAACAAGACATTGTTTAGATTAGATAAAATCATAAAATACAATTCATTTCGTCGTTTAGCGTGCTAGTCTACTTCACCTTCCATCATCCGCTCAACGGTGAAATTTTTTTATCGCCCAAACCAGCTATTATTACCGCGGAATTGCGTATTCTACTCTATCTTTGTCAAATCACTCCACGATAATATGCTTGTTAATTCACCTGGTAATGCTGTCTTTTATTAATTTGGAAGGTTGGACCCCCTACTGCAAATCTGCAATGATGCAGATTTTTCCTGCGTGCTGAATTTTGTGCTCTAATGGTGGATTGTGATAGCGATTTGCACCATTTTGTGCGAAGAACTTACATGAATCAGATAGATGAAAAACCTCGAGCTGTCAGATGATGCTGGAGAGGCATATGCTATTCTCCTGAAAGCTCAACTGCCTGAAGTCTGAACTCTGAACATGTTGTTCAGTTGGCCTCGTTTTCTCACCTTTGCTGGAACAGGGGTAAATAAATGGTGACGAATTGATACCAGAAGAAAGTGTGGTAATTAATTAATTAAAAAGCATAATTAACAAGCTCAAATCACGATGCTCAATATAATAATTACTCTTTTTTTTTGTTCTTCCTCGAACTCGAAGAACGCACACCGTCTCCCTCTCGACTGTGACTCTCCCCGTGTTTGGGCCGCACGAAATCGAGATCAGAATCCGTTCCGGCCCAATGAGTAGCATGGGCCGCACATAAGTCTAATCCTACTCCTTTGCAGAAGAGCGTTCCACCACCGCGTCCGACCGCCGACGCGACCGGCGGCGACCCTCCCTCTTCAGCCGTTCGCCGGACTTGCGGCCAGACAGATCCCCTTCGCCGCCGGGAGCAAGATCAGGCGGTGTCCGCGGCGGGGCTCGTCGGGATCTGCCCCCATCCATGGTCGCGCGGCGCCGCTTCTGACTGCTCCGCCCCCGCGTTGATGCGCTGCCCGCGGCATCGAGCCGCAAGGTAATTCCTCGTCGGAGCCCTCCTATTCGCAGCAAATTAGACAAGCAGATGTTCATCTAAAGCGTTGGGGGTTAGAAATTTCGGAAACTGATTGGTCTCGTAAAGCGTCTCCCTCCCCAGACTCTAGAGAGTGATGGGATTTGGGGGGGGGATGATTATGCTGTACAGGAGTAGTTTGATAGCAATGTTAGTGGTAGAAGTGAATAATCTTGTATGGTCTGATGTTGTGTTTGCTGGGATGTTGCATAATGGTGTGTCTCTTTTTTTTTACTGCTTGTGTAGGTTTTTGTCATATTAATCATGGTGCTTAGCAAGGTTGAAGTGAACTTGATAAGGCTGCTTGAGGCAGCTCCTCGACAGCAGAACCAGACTAAGCTTGTCCATGTAAGTGTACCTCGTACGGTTTTTTCTTAGATACGAATTTTTCCGTCATGCTTTGTTTATGTTAATAGGCTAATTATATACCTTTAGTTAGGAGAACAAAGAATCCCTCAAGTGAGTATTTTTGTGTGTGTGTTGAAAGTAAGAAGGGAATATTTCTGGATTACCTCATGTGTTTCAATTTTAGCACTTACTAGTAGCTAATGCATGTTCTTTTTAATCTTCTTCTCTATCATTTTGAATGGAATCTGTGGTTGCACTGAGATTCTCCAATCAACTGCAGTATGTAACCACAGCCAGGGAACTGTTGGAGCAGCTAGGATCAGAAACTACTCTAGAAGGGATATCAAGGTATTCATTCATGTTTTATTTGTTCTCTATAGCACTACACATATCTTTGGGAATATCGACATGTTGGCTGTAGTATAATCTTCAGTCTGTGACCCAGCTATAATCTGTTGAGCATCCATACTTAAAAAGCACTCCAGTTAGTATATGACAAGGCAAAAACCACCAAATCTCTGATCCAATATAAAACTGTTATAGGTGAATCTGATCTCTAGATCCTACACTGTATTTCATGACACTAATATGACCAATTCAGTGAATTGTTTTTTTTGTTAAAAGACTACTGGATGCTAATTTTGTTTACATGATGCTGCTAGTTTGCTTTGGTGGATGGTGTGTTCATACTTTCAACCTCTGTACATGAATGAATCAGGCATAATCTACTGTAATACTATTCAATGAGCGCAAAAATTTGATGCACTAACTACTTAGCTACACGTATCTTAAGTTAGTTCCTAGTCAATAATTGATCTTCTTCTACTAGTATAATTCTTTAGTATGCACCATGCTTTCCCACATGATAAATACTCTGTGGGAGAGCATTGCATATTTTGTAGCTCTGTTTTCATTTGGTAGCAGTTGTTCTTGAAAATCTCAATACTCCTTTAAAGATATGCTTTTCTGTGCGTGCGAAAAGAACAGTTATATGAATGTTTACAACGTAAATTTTAGTCACCTTCCTTCATTTTGATGAACCTCAGTTTATTATGTAGATTCCTGGATTTTTGCTACCTTTTCCATTAGCAATCTTATACCTTGTTTAATTGTCCTGTTACCCAGTGGAGCAGAGCAAGCATTTACCTACATTGAGTTTTCTTTTTTTTTTTTGTGTTACTTGTGTAATATAATATTTTTCCCCATGATCAAACGATGTTCATTCATGAATTTCTTCTTTGTCCAGTGTATCAAAAGCTAAGACAAGTGAGTATTCAGAAAAGATTGAAGCATTGGCTGCCCGGCTTGCTGCTCCAGAGGTATGCTGTTGTCGTGCTAATATCTTAAATTCCTCAATTGATACTTCAGTTCTTTTTTTGGGTGTGGGGAATAGTTCAATTGAATGCAAAACCACCAACTGCAGCATATGGTTTACTTAGTTTTTTCTTCAAACAAAATCAACTTACTTTTCAGAACATATGCAGCCACAATAACTCAGATGGATTATACTTTTGTTTGATTTTTCTTTTGTTCAGCCAGAAAATGAAATGCCAGTTGATGAGAATAGAGAGGTAGAAAGCTCTTATGAAGGAGATAAGCCAGGAAGTCCAATATCATTATCATCAGGATTACGTAGGAGACCAATGTAAGTTTTAAAATTTGTATGTTTCTTTTTCATAATTATTACAATTAGCGAGCTAATAATGGATGTAAATTGTATGTTCTTTTACATATGTTTGATGAATTGTAACTGAACACATTTATCTTTTCTATGGACCCTTTGTATATTACTAAATCCGGTTTGAATGAATTTGTATGTACTGAACTTAGATGGACTATTTATGTAAGCTTTGCAGACTTGAATTTTGATGTATGGATTGTGATTGATGTTCATATATTTATCCAAATCACCATGTGTTTTTTTTTAGCGTGGAACTCATTTTTTCTGACGGTGGATGATGGTTTTTCCTGACGGGTCCACGTCAAAAATAAGCTTTCACAAACCTGACGCCAGTTGATTTTTTTTGTGAGCCAACCGACAGGAATTCCCGACAGAAATGATATTTCTGTCAGGAAAACGACAGAAAAACTTATTTTCTCCGTGGTCTTTTTTCTGTCGGCAAACTCTGACGGTGCACCCACAGAAAAGTATTTTCTGACGGTAATTCATATTATTCTGACGGTTTTCGGCCTACAGGGTAGACCTCTTGATCTTCTTTTTCTTCTCATCATCCTCCTTCTTGTCTTCCGACGACTGTGGCCGCTCAGCACGGTTCTTCTGCCTGTCCATTGGAGCTTAATTTGCTAGCTAACTAATAACTATAGCTAATAGCTAGGCGCTGGCTAACTCGATCGAAAAGAGCTGCTTATCCCACAGCTTGTCTGCAGGTTGCGATGACCTATATTTATAGTCAGTGTACATCGATCATTGAATTGATCTTTGTTCATGCTTACCTTTAATTTGCTTCTGACTTGCTGCATTATATATAATCCAGGTCTTGAGATGACCAGATCAGTGCGGCGCATGGATGTGTCAAAAGAGATCACTGAACAAGTATAGTACATGCACGTGAACTAGCTAGCTACTGTAAAATGGATCGGAGTACATTGCGACAGAGAGCACATACGTACTGTGAAACAAATTAAACATCATAATCTAATTCTTGCACTTAAATGTCCAAATGCTAGTTTCTCGCAATCTCTGGTTGTAGCAGAAAGAGCCTTAATTTTGGATCTTAAGAGCTGCTATTATTACTTGATGACGAGAAGTCTCTGTACTTTAATTAGCCGTGCATCCAACCAAAGAGTGCCTCCATGCTGGTTCTCATTTCGGTTTAGAAGAAAACGGAGACGGCCCAGCAAACCAAAACGACCCATCTGTGAGCATTTAATTTGCATGTGTACGCCTTACGCATTTCTTCGCTAAAAAAATAGTTAAAATTTTTCGGGCTTGGTTTTGTATATATATCTCTCTCCCTGCCCAAGCTCGTCCAATAACTATCGTGGGCCTTTTTTTTTTGCCAGACTTCTTCGGCCCCGGGGAGGCAAGCCTAGGGACAATGCATATTTATAAATGAACAATAATCCAAATGATTTAAGTTATTTATATATATTATTATACGGTTGGTCAGTGTTGGAGAAATTTATTACTTCTTTCCAAAACAAATTAACCAAATATAAAATGTTTAAATTCATAATATTATGATGTATCGCATCTCATATTTAATTGGTTTATTGTAAGATAGAGGGAATACTATTAGGTACGCTTGATCATGTGGTGTGTGCCTTGCATTCATATGAATACTACTCTCTTCGTCCCTTAATATAAGAGATTTTGATATTTTAGTTACACTGTTTGACTACTCGTCTTATTTAAAAAATTTGTGCAAATATAAAAAGCGAAAAGTTGTGCTTAAAGTACTTTGGATAATAAAATAAGTCACAAATAAAATAAATAATAATTCCAAAATTTTTTTGAATAGGACAAATGGTCAAACAGTGCAAGCAAAATATCAAAATCCCTTATATTAAGGGACGGAGAGAGTAGTATTCATATCAAATGGACCAAATAGAGGCAGCTGATAGATATAGGGATATGCTACACAAAGACAAGCTCAATGTTTGTGTGGTGTGATGTAATCTTAGGAGTGAGCCCATGAATAGTGGGATAATGTTAAAGCAATTCGCACAATGCTATTGCTATGGCTAGGATTTAAGTAACCATAAGATAGGGCCACATGAGATAAAAAAAATACTTCAGCTCTTGTTTATGAGGTGAATGAGAGAGATAAAAATATTTTAATTTTGTTTGTGATAGACCTTAAGTATAATGTGCACCATAAACTAATGCTACTTACCACAATATATGTGACTTATTTTATAAGTGTAATTATTATTTTAAGATTATATTTTTCATAAATTATTATTGTTGCGCTAACGCCATATCGATCAAAAAAAGTGAGCAGAGGGGAATATGCATGATATATAGCATATCACGGGTATGATTTTGACTGCTAGCTGCTGCTGTATGTATGATAGGCACAAAGCTGGTTGGCCATGCATGTACTGCGTTTGCGTGGTCCATTTGACCAGATCGACGTGAGCCAAAGCTTAAGTGCGGTATCTCCAATAGGGAAGTTTTTTTTGCTAGTATCATAACACTTATCGTTTTGCTAAAACTGAAATCAAACTTTGTACAGCTTTAACTATGAACAAAATTTAAAATATTTATTTTAGAAGCATGGAAACTATATGTATATATTAATATTGAAATATACTTTAATAAAATCATACATTCATGATATTTATTTAAATATTGTAATAGAAAATAGTGATAAAGTTGCTTCTTAAGATTGTGTCCCTTGTTCAAAACAACAAGCATATTTTTAAATGGTACTACCTCCGTCCCATATAAATTATAATTCTAGATGGTTGCATATATTAAGGATTGAGAAAAAAAAACTATAATCGATGCTCCTTATTAAATGTTCTATATATAGATAAAAGTGGAGGGGTAGTTGAGGGTAAAATAGAGATAAATTTGAATGAGAAGTGATTAATGAGACCATTAATACTATATTGTGATAATTATTTTGGGACAAATTTAAATCCTAGAAATATAACTATTATAGGACAGATAGTAACTAGCACTCTTTTTAAAACTAATTAATATGGGTGTTAAATGCTGCGTGCATCTTGGAATGCGTTATATATAGGAGTATACTACTAGTAGCTTGTGTGCCTATAAATATAATCGTATGTCATATTTAACCATATTAATTGTGATATATATTATCACGATTGCATGCATGGTCAATATAATTCTTTTATTTATTAATTAATGTAAGAGTTTCTAGTATTTAGAGTAAACGCGATGTTACTTTTATTTTACTATGTTTATAATATATATAGTCCAGTATATATATGTGATACATTGGTTGACAAACTTAGTATTACTTAAAAAAAGATGACATCAATAGCAGTTTATTTCACGTACGGTAGATCAATGCGGCATACGTTGCTAGACAAAACTAGTGCGTAAAAAGTTTCGAGCACACGCAGTCATAATAATGCAGTAATGCAGATGACCAAGGTGAATGGGGTAGTGCATGCATATATACACTTGGTCAACTCTGTCGTATACAGTAGTAGACATGTAAAGTACTAAACTTTATTCGGTCTCGTCATCGATATATCGTCATACTACTTTACTGTAGTTCATCAGCTCTGCATTTGCATATGCATGCAGATATGATTCGACGACCAAAATTAATTAAGGCTGTGTTTAATCCAAAGTTTGATCCAAACTTCAGTCATTTTTTATCACATCAACCTGCTATAAACACAACTTTTCAGTCATATCATCTCCAATTTTAACCAAAATTCAAACTTTACGCTGAACTAAACACAGCCTAAGGTGATGTCAACCACACGACGAAGACGCGCGATATGAAGCGGTCCTTGTTGGGATAAGACGTACTACGAGCGATCCTTTTGGACCTCATGGTCAGTACTCCGCATATCCGTACTGACGATTATATTGCTGGATGGAGCGGCTTGTTGCATTTCATTTCCAGTAGATATAGATTAATTGTTTATTTCTTTATTTTTTTTCTTAAAAATCCAGTTAATTAGATTGCACAGATGGTTTTATATATGATCTTCATTTTGGACGTCAACGAAATTACAGGAGAGTGAATCGTGTTAGCCTAGATAAAGTATGGTTGGGCTAGTTTGCCCATATAAATATAGTTTCCGTTTGGTCCACTATGAACTCTGCTTGTCTACCTACCCCACCACCACCACCCTTTTCTCTCCCTTGGTGAATAATCCAACTTTTTTTTTCGCGAAATACATTACAGACGGAGACACTCATATATACAAACGTGCGCATGTACCCTATATATCTCTATGAAATATACAAAAATGCCAATAAGGAGTACATGACATAAAAATTGCAAATTAGCTCCATCAGCATAGACTACGACCTTCTTTTTTGAAAGTCATGGGGATACGCAAATGCAAAGCATTCGAGTGGCTAGTTATCTACTCCCTCCTTCCCTAAATGTTTGACGCCGTTGACTTTTTTAAACATGCTTGACCGTTCGTCTTATTCAAAAACTTTTATGAAATATGTAAAACTATATGTATACATAAAGTATATTTAACAGTGAATCAAATGATAGAAAAAGAATTAATAATTACTTAAATTTTTTGAATAAGACGAACGGTCAAATATGTTTAAAAAAGTCAACGGCGTTAAACATTTGGGGATGGAGGGAGTAATATAGAATTTGGACGGAGGACACATAAACTACTATTGCCCTCTCTGCAAATATACCTTCGAAACTTACTTCCATCTCCACACGAAAGGCAGATACACAAGTATCTGGAACATATTAGCAACTTGGATCGGCTGCGAGGAGGGACTTCTGAAAGGTTACAAATACGGTGCACAAGTACGTGGAGTGCCCACCTAAAGGTCCTGTCTAGACCTATGATGGTGAGGCGAAGACTGAGGCACAGTTACACGCTGTTCTATTATGAGCATGAATGGGATGATGTTGCGTGCCGGGCGGCTGGCTTGGGTCGCTGTGTGTCAACCTCGGACGACCCAATAGATAGTGGAACCCGATTAGAGCAAGGATAATAGTGAGATATGCTTATGTGGAGGAGAGAGAAAAAAAGGTGTTGGCTCTCATGCAAGAGCTAGCTTTGCACGTGCTCCAAGACAAATACATTAAATGTATAAATGAGAGAAAAAGATAGGAGAAGAAAAATCAAAGATAATCTTAGAGCTAGCTCTGCACGTGCTGTTTTTCGGAAAAACCCCTTTATTTTTTATCTTTATAGCGCTACCTCTAGAAGCGGAATTTTCTTTTCTTCGCATTGTATTTCTGTGAAATAGGAGGGCTTTTTCAGAACAAACACAACAGGGTGTTGTCCAGTCTGAGGACATATGCGATATTTTGTGCAAATACGAGGAGTTTTTTTTTTTTTGCAAAATAGCCTTTTAATGAAACCGGCTCCAACCCACGGTGCAGACCCATAGCGCCTAAAATTGCGTTTGGCCGGTTACCGCCTACAAGCGGTCACTCGTGCGCGCGCGAGGAGCCAACTACAGCAAATGGGCGACGTGTAAATTTACGGGATAGCTAAAAAATAAAAAACATGAGAAAAAGGGTACGGTTAGGCTGGTTATTGATTGATGATACCCCATCTACCATGGGGCATAGAGAGAAACAACCAAGCAAGTGGTTGTGCCGGCTCAGGTACGCACGGAGCCCAGCATTGAGACCTCATACATCTACAACAGTTGGTATATATAAGCAGTAGATGGAAATACATTGAAATCCCTAAGTTAAGGAGCTGCAAAGACAGATGAAGTAGCACTGCAAAACAAATGTCCCTCTTAGGAGGATGAAATGGACTACATAAACACGAGTTTCTTAGTGCCCAAATATATCAACCACAAAGTTCTGTAATTGAGCATAGCTGCCCCTGATTTTAGATATGCAGACCACAGTGAATGATTTTCTTACAAGTTCCAAGCTAAGATCATTCTACAGTTAAACTCATGATCTCACCATAATACGCTGGGTTTTCTCTGGGTTGACAAATACACTGATTATATTCATGAAAATCATTAAGCAGTGCAATACTACCTACATGACTCAGCGACACACAGAAGGCAACGACGGACGAAGTTATGGCAGAAACACTCTTAATTTTGTAAGTGTTTTTGTATTTGGAAGATCAACAAATCTTCTTTTGGATAGGGAAGGTCAACAAATCATTTGCTCAAGCTTAATGTTCTCGCAATATCTTCTCATTGTAAGTGATAAAACGAAACCTGTTAGAAACTTCCGTTTGAAAGAACATGTTATTGACCCTAAGGAAAGAATGTGGTATTGAAGCATTCCAATCAACACAATAAGTTATTAAACAGTTGCTATGATCACAAAAATGTTCGTTCTTTTAGAAATCAAGGTACAAAGGAAAATATCTGGTTTCATGTTGGAGACATGGCAGCATCTGATTCATATTCATGCGGATAAATCAGTTATCACATCTTCTGATTATGTAGAGCTTGTTTTTATACACTCAACAAGCTGCAACCAAATGTCAGTTCGACCAAAGTGTTCTGCTCACATTTCCTAATTAAGTATGTCCCTGTTTCAGCTAATATATAAAAGAGCACTCTATAAAGCAACCAACCTCATCCTCAGTTTTTGTGATTTCTGAAATTTGCTTCTTTCCTCTAAGAAGCGGCTAAGTTCAATCCCTAAGATTGAACCAGATTATCAAATGAGAGACACGCCAAGATGTGTTAGCTGCTCGATTTACACGGTTTCTCTAGAATTTATGTTAGCCGTACAAAAGAAAATTAACCAGTTGTATTAGCACTATCAGTTGTATTATCACTGTGTAATTAAGTACACCTCTGAAAACCTGGCGAATTTTGTTTCACATTTACCTGCCCCTGCAGAGAATTGTGGTGTTGAGATTGCTTGAAGTAGGTCGAGGTAAGTAATTATCTGAAACATGAATAATAGCACGTACAGTTTTGCATCAATTTAGGGTTGAATTAACATTACGATCAAGAGCTGGTGGCGGAAGTAGGGCCACCAGGGGCGTAACCGCCACTCTGTGCTGCAAGGACGGAGCGACGTACGCATGGCGAGATGAGGCGAGGTGGTTGGCAAAGAAGACGCGGCGTTGATTGAACCGCTCCTTGCCGGCCGTCCAAGTGGTGAAAGGCGGACGGCGGAGGTCGGCGCGAGGACCAGCAGATTCAAGTGCAGGTTTAGCATCGACGGCAGATCAACCGGTGGCCGGCAATTGAGCGGGGTGCGGGAGTGGAGGCAATCCAGCCGGGTTCACTCGACGATAATGACTTGAAGCCGGCGACGGCGCGGTGGAAGAGCCGTTAGCGAGGGAAGAGAGGATGTGGCGCTGCGGGTGGGGGGCGCGGTGGCACGATGGTCGGCGAATCGCGGGCATGGGCGGGTTGGAGATTGGTGGCGGCGATTATGGAGTCGGACTCGGGAGGGGAAGGGGAACCTGCGGGGTAGGAAGAGGTTGGAGGTGGGATGAATCTCAAGCATTGGATTTAATATGGACAATTTGAACCATTGCATTGAGTGATGAATGAAAGATAGATAAATAGATAGATAGGCATAGAGAAAATTCCTATATACCCTTAAAAATTTACTCAATCCCTTTAATACCCCTGAATTTGACCTCATCCCTTATATACCCCTGAGTTTTCATTTTGATCTTCTCTATACCCATCTCTGTTAGTTAACCATTAGTTGACCGTTAAATATTTTAAAATGACTATATTACCCATCCTATACATATGTGGTACCTACCCAATAAATTTTCATATGAAAAAATTAACTTATACAAAATACAAGCAATATAATCATTTGATGCCCAACTTAAAAAATAAAACTTATTATTTTTTATTTTTTTAAAAAAATGATTAAATCCATACATTAGTTTCACCAGAAAATTAAGAGCAAAAACTAAATGTTATTTAGGTTTAAATTTTTGGGAAGATATACGAAATTCATCAAATTTGATCTGAAATTTATTTAAAAATTTTAAATTTGTTTTCTAATTTGTGATAAACTAATTACATCCCCTTTGTTTTTTTACAACGAATCTTTTTTTACTAAATATTTGTTGAAAAGTAATTTTCAAATTTTATGCAGAACTTTTTTTACAATAAATCTTTTTTATTTTCATGAAATAATGTTTTGTTTTTAAAAATTCATAACAAATATTTAGTAACTTATTCCTTATTGGTTTTCACAACTCAAATAATTTACACATAAAACATTTCTAGCTTTTAACAATATACCAAGGACAATAAAGTAATTTCTTCAATAACTAACGGTCAAACTAATGGTCAACTAACGGAATGGGTATTTAAGGGATGCAAATAAAAACTCAGGGGGTATATAAGAGATCAAACAAATTTATGGGGCGTAGAAGGGATTGGGTGAAATTACAGGGGCATGTAGGTAATTGGCCCATAGGCATATGCTTGTGGTTATAGGGCTTGTTTGGTTCTTTACCCTACCAATTCATTGGTAGTGCCAAAGTCTAGGAAAATTTTGGCACTACCAAAATATTGGTAGGGTAAAATTATTTAGCTAACATTTGGATTGCTACCAATTTAAAGCCAAATTCTTATAGCATAGTGAAGAAACTTCTAGAATATGACCAAATATTTTAGGGGCAGTACCAAATATTTAGTCTCAATCCAAACTAACACACAAACTATTCAATTTGCCAATAAATTGGTAGGGTATGTTTTTGGCATCAAACCAAAACGGCCCATAGTTTTGTCAAGGTCTAAGATATAGAATAAGTTTAGTAAAAGGGGTAAAGTGTAAAAATTCCTGCCACCCCAATCACCCCAATCCTTCTCCCGGCCGTAGACCATTTCGTTCCGACGCGAGTAATTCCTCCCCACGGGCGGCGACTAGGGCGGCTAGGGTTCGTCGGGCGCCGCCGTGCCGGAGATCGCCTCTCGCCGCCGACACCCGGATCTCCGCCGCCGCCGGTCGCCCCAGGTTATCCCGCTCCCGCAGTCACCATCCCGTCTTCTCCGCCAGTCGCCTCACGCCCGGCCTGGACGCCCCGGAATCCATTGTCGGTCTCGCCCCGCCGACTGCCGTTGACGCCACTGGCTGAAGGTAATAAGCCGCTCACCTCTCCCTCTCCCCCTCCCCCTGCGAGCTCATGGATTTAATCCATTCGCTCGTGCGTGTTCTCCGTACTTGGGTGAACTAAACCTAGTTCGTGTTCTCCCTACTTAGGTGGAGTAAAATAGTTGAACGTTTGTTCTCTGTACAACAACTGTCACCTATCTTCTCATTTAGGAGCTTCGATTTATCCTAGAATGAACGGAACCAGCGGTTTTGGATGAGTTCAGTACTGTGGTACTCTTGTTCTCGTGGACGATTTAGAGGAGCCACTCCTGTTGAGAAGAATTATATTTCATAGTTCCCCGATGGTAATGAATCACTAGAGCCCGTATTTTGCTAGTATATATTGATTAACTTCCACAAATGTGAAGGATAATCATGGTGCATAGTTTTTGTATGTCAAGTTTTCTCAATCAGGTGGCAGCTGTATTGCTTGCTAGTAAAAATGTTGTGCTGATTGGTTGTTTTTAAAGGCGATACGCAGATTGGTTGCTTTTCTTAGATGAAATTCTGATTGGTTGCTAGACAAGCAGTTTGCCCTTCAAATGCTATGGCCCACCTGCAAACGCCCTAGAGTGCTTTGGTGCTCTAATCTAAATGACCTAGGAAAGGATTAGGATGCTGTTGCTTAAGTTGTTTGGGCTGCAATGGATACAAGTTAGTTAGGGCTGGAAATGATGATCTCCATTTTCAGAACATATAAGGCTGGGAATGGGCCTTGGCCTGTCACCAGGCCTTCAAATGGAGAATAGACAAACTATGTCGACTTATTAGTTGTGTTTTCTCTTGCTCTTCTTTTGTCTGTAAGTGTTGGGTGTTCTATTTGTTTTTATACGGAATTAATTGCACGCAAAAAACCGAGTGCTCACTTCTGCAACGTTCTAATGGTTTTGCATGAGTTCAGTACTGTGTTATTCTTCTTGTTCTCGTTGATTTAGAGAAGCCACTCTTATTGAGAAAAATTATGTTTCATGTTCCTGGATATGGTAATGAATCACTGGAGACTATATTTTGCTAGTCTGTATTGATTAACTTCTACAAATGTAAAGTAGACTGATTTTTGTATGACAGGTTCTCTCAATCAGGTTGCAGCTGTACTGTTTGCTAGTAAAAGTGTTGTGCTGATTGGTTGTTTCTAAAGGCAAAATGCAGATTGGTTGCTTTTTTTAGATGAAATTATGATTGGTTGCTAGACAAGTGGTTTGCCCTTCAAATGCTATGACACACCTGCAAACACCCTCTAGGCTTTGATGCTTTAATTCAAATGCCCTATGAAAGGATTAGGCATATAGGATGCTGTTCCTTGAAGTGGGTGGGCTGTAATGGACACGACAAGTTAGTTAGGGCTGGAAAATGATGATGTCCATTCTCAGAAAATATAACGCTGGGAATGGGCCTTGGCTTGTCACCGGGCCTGCAAATAGAGAATAGACAAAATATGTTGACTTACTTACTGGTTGTGTTTTCCCCTGCGTTTCTTTTGACTGTAACTGTTGGGAGTTCTATTTGTCTTTATACTGAATAAATTGCTCATAAAAACTGATTGCTCACTGCTCCAGCTGTGACCTGCTTTTCTTAAGTTCTTTCCCCGTCTAGCTTTTTATGTGAAATTGAACTAACTTTTTATGTGATTTTGGACAGTAGGGATACTTTAAGAGGCTTTTGGGAACAGGAACAGTCTGAGTTAAGAAATGTCTTCTGGGAAGGGGAAGCGGAAGATGGAAGAAAAGGGAGTGCCTCTGCAGGGAGATCTAGACCCTGATAATGATCCCATGAAATATGCTTTGTCTGCTCCCAGGGTACAGATTATTCCCGGGCTGTGGCGCCGAATTGTCAGACGACGGAGAAGCAAGAATGATGCCAAGCCCTGGGCATGTCCCTGTGGATATGTAAATAAACCTATCCAGCATCTGTTTTTTGATCTCCCTCGATTTAAGTGTGGAAGTAGAGAATGCAAGGAAATGATCCCGGTATGGATTTACTCTTTAAAGTTTGAATTCTGCATGCCTAGAAGACTATTCCCTCTGTTCCAAAATATAAAGATTTCTAGGTTGCTTAAAAAATACTAAGGTTAGGTCAAAATATTCTTTTTAGTCACTTCAGTTGTCAATTTTTGAATTTTGAAATGGTTAGATTCCCTTTGCAAGCTTCTGATTGGCTTTGAATGCTAGAAATCCTTATATTTTGGAATGGAGGTAATAGATGCTTATTGTAAGATTGACCATTATGTTTTAATCTGTAGGATGACTATGAATTTAAGTTCTCACTTGTTGAGAAGCGAACGGTGTTTGTCTTCTCAATAAAGTGAAAGACCAAGATTCCAGACGTACGCATATTTCTTACCCACTTTCTTTGTCTAATATTGAAATGGCTATGTCTGTTTTCTTCTGTCGTCTCATTAATAGTTTTTGTATTTTCAGCACACTGCATGGCATATGCCTCTGCAGTGAATGCTGATATAACAAGTAAGGTCACAAGCGTACTTTTAGGAGAAGCAATTCGTGATGCAAAATCTGAAATATGCATGAGAAACTTTCTTGCAAAAATTGAAGCTAAAGAAGCAATTGCCAAGGAGTTTGGATATGAATACACATGATGATCTTGGCATAAAAGATTTGTGGAAAATTATTTCGATCTTAGAGAAAGATGGAGTTGAGACAGTGGTATGTTTTCCAACGCTTAAGTTCTTAATTTTTTCTTTTTATGAATTTTCTTATAATAACTCCTTTTGTTTTATAGGATGGTTCACACAAAGCCAGGATATCAGGGATTACTCATGTTCCACTGGATTTCCCAGTGATATGCAAAGAGATTGCGGAAGGACACCCACTATTGGCCATCATAAGAACAGGAAAAGGATTTGATGACTTGCAATATAATCAGATTTATAAACCACCAAAAGTATCGAGAATTGTGGATGGTAAATCTGCGGGGCTTCATTGTATTACACTTGTTGGAGGTGCCATGCGCAAAGGTAGAAAAATGCATTATAAGTTTGTCAATACATATGGGGAGGATTTCTGCAAACTCAGAAGCTTAAACAGAGATGATGGAATAAAGGGTGGATAGGAAATGTCATTGCTGAAGGGATACTAAGGAAACCTGTCAAGTTTCTCCGGGAGGGACGAGGTAGTGTGTAATCTGGAATCCCATTCTGATTTGAAATTGCTTGCCACCTTTGGAAGAATGATTTTTTTTGTACAATTTTGTGTTTCTTTAATTATCAGTTCTCGTTTGCTTGCTAGCAACTATTATTTGGAGAGCTTGTCAATGAAATGTTAAATAGGTATAAATTGCAGTACATTACTTATAGGGCACACATGCTTGTAGCTATTAGTGATAGCATATTATGGGGCACAGATAGATGTAATGCACTATTTGTATATCTGTGTAATGGATAATCCTATTCTTAATTTCAAACTTGGTTGATCATTGATAGAACAAGTTAACAACTAATTTAATCAAAAAGTCCAGGCTGGGTCTACTAATTTTTATAATCAACCAATATAAGGCCATAATCTTAATGTAGTTCAATAGTTAATTTACAATTTGTTCATTTCAGTCTTATTTTGCACGCCTCTTGTGCATTCTTTGTTACTACTTTATTTGAAGGGTGCTCGTGCTCTTTTGTAATACATTAAACTGGTTGAAATCCCAATCTCTTCCCAATCATAGGTACCGCCCATGTTCTCAGAGAAATGCATTCATGCAATCAACTTTTGTTTGTTTATGTGCAGCAAATTTACATAAACAACATTTCATTGTTAGTTTCTATTGTTTGTAAAGAGTATTCTTTCTGCAGAGGTTTTGAAGCAGTAGAAGTAAGGCCTGTTCCAGGATGTAATTACTCACCCAGCCACAAAGGGAAGTAGGGGGCAGTTCTGGTGTTCGATGTTCCAGCAACCAAATCACGATGGATGTATGGTTAACCTGCTATGACAGCCATGAACTCGTTAATTGGTGTATGTAGCTAGCACTTCTCATTATCTTTTTTGCCTACTCTTCTTCTTGGGCATGCATTGTCCCTATGATTACCTGTGATTCGTCTCTGCGGATGGCGCATTGAGATTTCAAATCTCGGGACGTACAACAGATCTAGTAATAGTTTGTTTGCTGTGCTGGTTCGTTAAACATATACTGGAGCTCCCAGAATCACTGGACATACCAGGCTTCATTTAGAGTGTGTAGTCTCCAACTGTAATACTTTCCTGTGGTTAGTGTTGTTTCTCTACATGATGATAGCCTGAACAAGGATACATTCCTCAGTTCCATGGGTGGGTGGATGGTCGACACGTTTTCCATCTCGGCAACAAAAGGTGTCTTTTTTTTTTTTTGCGGGGAACAAAAGGTGTCTTTTGACTGAGTTTTGACATATTTGAATGGGGAAACTCTTTTCATCGTTAGGTTCTGTTTGGTTAATCCAGGGAAGAGAGTGATTAGAGGGTATCACCTCAGAAACTAAGGGGATATCCATTTTTACATTATTATTTTTTTAAAAAAAAATATTACAATAACATGTCAGACCACCCAATCAATCGATTTTGTTAGAAGACTGCTAACCAGATCCACAATTACACAAATTAAATCAACACGTAACAACAGGACCAACGATGAACAAATACCAATCCACCTCTTATCACTAAACTATGAGCTGCAGAAGAAGATTTTGGTTCCATACCTTCTGACAGAGTGAAGCACGTCAACCTGCCCCTTAGCCGTTGCACCCATTAATCTTCCCTTCGTCGTCGAGTCACCTTCCTCCAGCTCCAGGTCCTCTGGCTTGGCTCAGAGATTGATGCGATGTGCTGCATGTGCATATTCTTCTTGGGTCCGCAGACTTCGGCTTGGCTCAGGAATGAACTGAAACAACTTCTTGGATTATGCTGACCACTTCTGCAATCTACCACATGCTCCAGCAAAGGCATTGCTGGGCACTTCCTTCAGGCTCCGCTGCATACTCCGCAGAAGAGATTGCATAGGTAGCACATTGGCATTGAGCAGCCAAGGAAGTAATGCCTGCTTCCTTTTATGTATGGCATTGGTTACGAAGAAAACCAGAGGGAGTATCAATTACATAAAACATAAATAAAAGACACTCATATAGGCATTACATAAGTTTGCAGACTAGCTGCAAAGCGATTAGCATTGCACATTAAAATGGATCTGGTCTTTTAAGTGTGCACATGAATATATAACATAACAGCATAGACAAATAAATTTCACCATCATATAACTGATTAACATAGCCTACCAAATAAGATTGCAATTTAGCACTGGGGAACAAGATGCCCTTGACAATCTTGCAAAACATCCTCTGTGATTTCCGCCAACAGATCTGGCTCACAGGACATGTCACAGACTTTCATTCTCTCGCACTCGGCAATGTCTCTGTGAAGCTCTTCAAGAGCTTCATCATCCTCCCTAACTAAGTTGTTCAAGCCAAGAGCGAAGTCATAGTCCTTAGAAGGATCAAAATAGATACTGTCATCCTCACATAAACCCACAAACTCAATAGCCATCTTCTCAGAGATAATAAGTCCTTTACTGTCAATTTCCTGTTTCCCACAAGACATTTCCTCGAAGTCTGTTTCACGCCCTCGGTATGTTCCAATAGCTGGATGCACAATCTTAGTTCCTTTGCACTCACAATGAAAGCACCTACCTGTTCTCGAAAGAATAAAGAACGCTCAGCAGCAAGCCAGAAAGAAAAATATCAAAATTAACTTTTTAATCATTACACAAATTAAACTTCAGATGCATGAATAATTTTGGCTACACAGAAGCTGTCCAAGGATTAGTAGTAGCTAGTAACTTCAGATGCATGAATAATGTTGGCTACACAGAAGCTGTCCAAGGATTAGTAGTACCTAGTGCTGGAGCTGCAAACCAACAACTAGGAGGGTTCATCAGGAATGGAAGGTTCCTTCCCATTTTTATTTGTGGGTTCTAGGTGAGCTAAAAAGAATGGGAACCAGGGGAAATACTCAAATTAACAAAGTGAAGCTAATGTCCAAGTATGTGGACAATGCAGATCGTGGCACATCAAAGTAACAATGTCAATGGTATCTTACAACTCGAGGAAATACGACTCATATTTAACTGTAGTGCAAGTGCAAAATCATACCAGAATCTGTAGGCGACTCTAGTTCAGCGCAGCATGAAAATAGTGTACCAATATCTTCTTCACCATTGCTGCACTCCAGGAAGAAAAGACTAGGAGCAGTGTTATCACGCTGTGAACCCTTTGGTCTTGCCAGAAAATTCACATGAGCATATGGAAATCCTTTGCGATTCCGAAAGTAACCATATCTGCCATTCTCAGGTACATCAAAATTTGTACCGCAGATGACATGAAGTTCATACTCGGTTCCCTAAAACAAGACAGACAGCTCAGTAAAGATATTTACGAGACTTAGTATTAATATTTGCTATAATAAAAACAAAAGAATTGGAAGACGAGTACATGAGCTACCCACCTTTTCTTTTGCATATCTCTTCAATGCAGCTTTCACCTTTCTGCAGATGAAATATTGATTAGCCATGAAATTTTGCTGGCTGCGTTTGACCAACTCGTCAGCTCTGGGAACCAATTCAGGAACTGATGGCACAGATTTGGCAGGGTATGATTTCTGTGAAAAATATCTTGAAATGAGCTCCACCTCATTGGAAGTGAGTGTGCGGCTAACCGCTAGCGATGGCTTGTCAATGGGCAACAGCATTGGATGGGTTGACACAGCGAATTCAGCTTGAGCATCAGGATGAGGATGCCATGCCGCGTCTGCTGCTGCCTTGTAAGCATCCTCATGAGAGCAGGATATATCATGATCGCACATTGCTCTAAAAGTGACTTGTTCAAGGTTAGCATTGGAGTGGAAAAGGTACATCATGGCATCGTGTTCAGATAATGCAGGGAAGAGGTTGTGGAGGAAAGCAAGAAGGCCGTTGAGGGAGCGGCACTCAATGCGCACGAGACTGTTGGTGCAGATCATGTCCAGCTTAAGCTCCTCATGTGGAGGGAATGTGGTGTCGTACCAGATGGTGTTGAGGATGATGTTGGAGACACGGTCATTAGCAGGACCAAAGCAATGGCCTGCCTTGAGGAGGCTATGGTGATAGCGTCTGCGCAAATCATCCCTGGGAAGCCGCGCGATCGCTTTGAGGTACAACACATGGATTTTCTCCAGGAGAAGAGTTCTCAGAGTATCTGTGAATTCATGGGGGAACTTGTTCAAGCTGCTGATTCCTTTGATGTAGTGATTCAAGCGAAGAGCCGCCTGCCGGACAGGTTTCGGGAAGTCGGGTGGCTCCTTGAGAGGTTCCTGGAGAAATTCGTGGAGGCGGTGGATGGCATCAAGAGACAGGTAGCATCCATCGGTGAGAATCTGCGAGGAGGCTGATCTCCAAGACGCGAAGCTAGCGAGAGTGATCTGGCTGCAAATGCTGGCGGGTCTGGGTGCGAGGCGGAGATGGCAGCGCAGCGGAGGGCAACCTCTGTGGTTGGGGAGGAGATCGGGAACAGCCTGCCTCCAATTCCCCGAGTGTACTCGATGAGGTGGACGGCGGCGAGCAGGTCGGCCTTGGTGAGCAGGAGGTAGTGCAAGGCCTCCGAGACGGGGAGGTGGCGGAAGTAGCAGATGAGGAAGGTGACGAGGCCCTCGAGCGAGCGCTGCGCGACGGGGACGTTCCTCCTCCGCTCCGGCGAGGTCTCGCACCGCCCCATCCTCGGAGGAAAGCAGCGGATGCAGCTGGCATCCGCGGCGATCTCGGACAAAATTGCCTCGTCTCTCCCCCTCTTCCTCTTCCTCGACTTCCCATCCTCCTCTTCCTCCTCCGACGCCGTGCAGTCGGGCAGGAGGGGTTCGGAGACGGTGTTGACGATGATGTTGGAGATGGGATCCATGAGGCCGAAGCAGACGCCGGCGTCAAGGAGGGGCGGGATGAGCGCCGGCGTCTCCTCCACCGGGAGCCGGCCGAGCGCAGCCTTGTAGTACCCATGGATGTGCCCGAGCAGCTCCGACAGCACAACACCCCGCTCCTTCACCGGCGAGGGCTGGTTGGCATCGGAGCTATCGCTGCCGCCCCTGCCTGTCGCCGGCGACGAGGGGGTGGATCCGGAGCTTCCGGCGGAGCTATCGCTGCCGCCCTTCGCTGTCGCCGACATCAGGGCAGGGATTCCACCGGGGCGGCGCCGCCGCGCGGTCCCTCCCTCTCTCTCCCCCTTCTCCTTCCTAGGGTTTGGGTGAGCGTTTCTTTCTTCCTTTCCGCGAAAAAAAAAAGGAGTAAATTTCACAAGTAGTCCAAGTTGCAGAAAACCACACACACTTTGACACTTACACTTAAGTACTTATATTTTGGTAGTGTCGTTTCACAAAACCACACTATCAATAAATAGATTCACCCGCGAGATGACGTGACTATTTCACTGTTTCATCTAGGATGAGGATATGGCATCCTATTACCAGCCATCGCACAAAATTAATAGAATGCCACGTCCTCATCCTTAATGGAACAACCACGTTATCTCATGGGTGAATCCATTCATCGATAGTGTGATTTTGTGAAACTAAACTACTAAAATATATGTACTTAAATGCCAAGTGTCAAAATATGTGTTGTTTTCTGTAACTTGAACCATAAAACATGTAGTTTTGTGAAATTTACTTTAAAAAAAGGGCAATAATACTCCTACAGATTACTGTTACGTACTATAATATCGTTCGTTTATTTGGGGAGATCCGCGTAATGTTACTAACATCCGATTTGTTTCAGCTTCACGTTATTGTAATCTAAATTTTTGAGTTGGATTTCTATAAAGTATAAACTGAATGGATTATAATAAGCTAGAGTACATTTAGATGTGACTTGTTTAATCAATTAAACAAATAGAAAAACAAATTAGAATCTCCCTTCCCTGTCCTTGGGCCGTCTTCGGCCCATCCTCCCCTACAAGTCCGTCCTTCCTCCCCGCTCAACCCGTTTTCTCCTCTTTCTCTTCCCGCGGGCCGAAGTTCACTCCTCCACCTCCTCTTTCTCTCTCAGGCCTGCCTTCCCTTCCGGCCTAGCCCGCCAGTCGGCCTATGTCACGCCCAGAAATTTAGCCCAAATTTCCAGACTATTCTGTGTATTAAATCCCTGTCCAGGACCAGCCAGGGCACACAAAACGACAAGTAATATACAGTTCCAAACGTAAATAAAGCGTAAAATACTTACAGAAGAAGCACTTAGTCCTCACACTGAAACAAGAGCAGCAGCAGCGGAAAATGAGATCCTAGCGGGGCTTCAGCTCCACTCCACAGGCAAAACTCAACTGGGGTCTGAGCCTTGGTCTTCCAACTTCATCTTCAGCTCAGAAGCACTACACTTCTGAAAAAGGGGAATAATAGCAAGGCTGAGTACAACCACCGTACTCAGCAGGCCACACCAACGATGCAGACGTGCAAGGGGATTCAAGAATGGCTTGTGGCTATTTGCATAAAGGCGGTTGTAAAATATTTTATTTAGCAAACAGTAAAACTGTTGAATAATTAAGGTAATATTAAATCTCCACTGATCAACGCTACACCACGTTGAACAGGCCCAACCAACCCACCTGAACTACAGTGCATTGGGTCGATTTATTAAGTGTGAGACTAATCACGGTGAATCTGGTCGATCGCCCATAACCGCGGGCACGGCTATTCGAATAGTTTTACTCTGGCCAGAGGTGCACAACTGTACCCACAAGACACAACCCACCGACATGTCACCGAGTCATCATGTGCCCATGATGCACACGTCACCATGTCGAGTGATTGTGACGAGACCCTTCGCATAACCCTCCCCTAACCATCCACACCACGCTAAGGTTTCACCCCCACTCCTCAAAAGGCAGTGGGCGGTCCCCTCTTGCGCCGCGGTGAATCTGGCAACTGGACAACCGGACACCCCGGCCGACCCAACTCCATCACGCCCACCCTCGCCACCGGTGCCTAGGAAAGGGTCGAGCTATACTTCAGATCAAGCAGTTACCCACTCCCGCTTGTGGCAAGCGCTCTAAGTCTTCCAGGGTTTCCCGTGAACCGGTCCTTAATTGCCATGGGTGCGACTCACAAAACCATGCACCCACAGCCCACCATTCAGTCGCATTTTAGTTGGATAATTACGACCATGAAACATGGCCAGATGTCTCGAGCACGCAGCTCAACAAGATACTAGAATGTCTAATACTGCAATTATCCCATCGACTGAGCTAGTGGTAATTAAGCATGGCTGTAACGCCCCAATTTTCGTTCGGGATTAAAAATCATTTAATAATGTATTTTCTAGAAATTAAATAAAAGTTAAATCAACTTAATCAAGTGACTTATTGAGGGAATTAAAAATTTCCTTTAAAAATTATTGGTCGGGAATATTTTGTAATATTCTTTGTGCCCTAATGTACTCTCCGAAATTTTCCGTGAATTTTCGGAGCTCGAGAAATAGTTTTAATAGCACAAAGATCATTGCACCAATTAAAATAAAAAGAAAACAAATAAAATCCTCCTTCCTCTCTTTGGGCCCCTTTCGGCCCAAATTCCTCCCCCTCCTTCCTCTCCCGCGGCCCGCGCGCCTCCTCCCTCTCTCGGGCCGGCTCCTTTCTCCCTTGGCCCGCTCGCAAAAGTCTGTTTTGCGTCCCTCCTCTCCCTTCGCCGACAGGTGGGACCGGCGATCCCACCCGTCAGCTCCTCCTCCTACCTCTGGCTGGCCGGCTGCAGCCGCCATGGCCGCCCGAGCCGTCCAACGTCGCCGCTTTCCCCGCCCACCTCCTCCACCCTGCACCGCTCCCGCCCGACCGTGGGACCTCGCCGCCCATGACCCTGCTCCCCTCCCCCACTCCGTCGCGCGAAAAACCGCCGCCACCACCCCCACGACGCCGCCCCACTCCCCCTCGAAATCCGCCGCTCCCCGGCCCTCTCCTCGCCCCCTTGAGCTATAAAATCAATCCCCGTGGCCTCCTATTCCTTTTTCCCCGTTTTCCCGAGTCCCCCACGCCTTCTACCGAGCTCCCCACGCTGATCCCCATCGCCGCCGCTCGCCGGCGATCTCCAGCCGCGCGCCGCCGCTGCCCCCGCCGTCGCCGCGCCTCACCGCGTGTGCCCTCAGCTTCACCATCCCGCGCCACACGCTGGCCTCCACTCGGTTTCCTTCAACCGCCATCGGAACCACCTCCCCACCGTGTAACCTTTCTCCGCCGCTTGCCGCCGAACTCCGGCCGCCTCTCCTCGCCACGCTAGCCACCGCCAAGCCGCGCCACTGCCACTGTCGGCTTCGCCGCTCCAAGCCGAGCACCGACCACTGCCTCGTTCCACCAATCCGTGGCCGAGTCATCACCTCCACCACCCACCCGAGCCGTTACCATCCTCCGCCTCCGGTCGTCGCCTCCGGCAGCACCTCACTGCTCTCAGCCACCCCGCGGCCGCCATTAGCTTCACTACCGCAAGGGCAAGCTCGGCCGCCCATCCCTTTTTCCCCTCCACCACCAGAACCACCTCCCCGCCATACCACCCTACCGGCCGCCTTTTTCCGCCTCCGGTCGCCGTTCGCCTTCACCCCGGCTGCCGCTGCGACGCATCGGCCGCATCGCCGGCTTCGCCGCGTCCCGCTCTTCCCCATCCGCCGCCCGGTCGCCGCCTTCCGCCGCCGGGAGCCCCTCCTCATTGTCGACCTGTGGAGCGCCGCCGCCTCCCTCCGCCGGCTGCTCCTCGCCGTCGCCGTGCCCCTCGGTGAGCTCCGCCACCTCCCTCTCCCTCACTGCCTCCGTTTCCTCTCGCCGCTTCCCGCGCTGCGCGCCGTCGCTCCCTGTGCCGCCCGCCGTCGCCGGTGACTGCGCGCCGCCGCCCTCTATGGTCGGTCCAGCCATGCCCGTGCCCGGCCACCGTTCTCCTCAGCCGCCCGATCGGCTTGGGCCGATCTGGGCCGTCCATCCCGTGGACGGGCGGTGGACCGCCCTTGTGATCCCGGTCCATGGTGGACCAAGCCCCCTTGAGTCGCTGACGCCTGGGACCCGCCTGTCGGCGCCGGCCCCCTCTCTTGCTGACGTCAGCGGCAGTCCTTTTCCTTTGTGAAAATATTTAATAATTGCGCAATAATTCGGTAATAATTGTAGATATTAATTTAATGGCTCAAAACCTTCTAAAATTCATATCTAATTCATTCAAACTCCGAATTGAGCCATTCAACTTGCAAAATTCATCTAAAATTGAGCTCTACATGTTTGTTTACTTTTTAAGTACTGTTTCCTTGGTTTTTATTATAGTTTTTCCTTGTTTTGCGTGCTAGCGTGTAGAATCCGTCGTTTCGGAAGTCCGCGGTCGCGAGGAAAAGAGTTCGGAAGATCAAAGTGTAGAAGCAAGGCAAGTCACACATTCCCCTTGAGCATGTTGATCCCAATTTACAAATGTTTTACTATTTGCAAATAAATATGCATGTTTTGCTAATTACATGGGATTCGGGTATTACCTATCTGCTCGCTTGTGCCATGTTTACTTGATATCTTTCCTTTGTCAACCATGGGTAATAAATCGCCTAGCTTGTGTTACTTTGATGACCTAGCTAGAACTATATGCTTAGCCATGCTTAATTACCACTAGCTCAGTCGATGGGATAATTACAGTTTTAGACCTTTTAGTATCAGAATGAGCTGCGTGCTCGAGACATCTGGCCATGCTTCATGGTCGTAATTATCCAACTAAAATGCGACTGAATGGTGGGCTGTGGGTGCATGGTTTTGCTAGTCACACCCATGGCAATTAAGGACCGGTTCGCGGGATGCCCTGGAAGAACTTATCGTACTTACCACAAGCCAGCGTGGGCAACGGCTGGGCTTGTAGTGTAGCTTTCCTCTAGCCGACGCATCCAGGCAAGGGTGGGCGTGATGGAGTTTGGATGGGCCCTGCGACGGCCTATGCGGCTTCCGGATTCACCTAGGCACGAGAGGGGACTGCCCGCTGCCTTGCGAGGAGTGGGGGTGAAACCTGAGGTGTGGTGTGCTTGGTTAGAGGGGGTTATGCGAAGGGTCCTGTCACGGCCTCTTTCCGGTATGTCGTGGTGGCATGTCGGCGCACGGAAACGTGTCGTGGGGCTGTGTCTTGTGGGTACAGTTGTACACCTCTGATCAGAGTAAAACTATTCGAATAGCCGTGCCCGCGGTTATGGGCGGTCGACCAGATTCACCGTGATTAGTCCCATCTTAATAAATCGACCCAATACACTGTAGTTCAGGTGGGTTGGTTGGGCCTGTTCAACGTGGTGTAGCGTTGATCAGTGGAGATTTAATGCTACTTTAATTACTCAAAAGTTTTACTGTTTTGCTCAATAAAATATTTTACAACTGCCTTTATGCAAATAGCCACAAACCATCCTTGTATCCCCTTGCACATCTGCATCGTTGGTGTGGCTTGCTGAGTACGGTGGTTGTACTCAGTCTTGCTATTATTCCCCCTTTTCAGAAGTGTAGTGCTTCTGAGCTGAAGATGGAGTTAGAGGACCAAGGCTCAGACCCCAGTTGAGTTTTGCCTGTGGAGTGGAGCTGAAGCCCCGCTAGGATCGCCTTTTTCCGCTGCTGCTGCTTTCGTTTCGGTGCGAGGACTAGGTGCCTCTTTTGTAAGTATTTTACGCTTTATTTACGTTTGTAACTGTATATTACTTGTCGTTTTGTGTACCCTGGCTGGTCCTGGACAGGGATTTAATACACAAAATAGTCTGGAAATTTGGGCTAAATTTCTGGGCGTGACAATGGCTAAGCATATAGTTCTAGCTAGGTCATCAAAGTAACACAATCTAGGCGATTTATTACCCACGGTTGATAAATGACAGATATCAAGTAAACATGGCACAAGCGAGTAGATAGGTAAACCCTGATCCCATGTAATTAGCAAATCATGCATATTTATTTGCAAATGGTAAAAAAATTTATAAATTGGGAACAACATGCTCAAGGGAAATGTGTGACTTGCCTTGCTTCTTCACAACAACCTTCTGAACTCTTTTCCTCGCGACCGCGATCTTCCGAAACGACGGAAACTACACGCTGGCACGCAAAACGAGGAAAAACCCTAATAAAATCCAATGAAACAGTACATAAAAAGTAAACAAACATGTAGAGCTCAATTTTAGATGAATTTTGCAATTTGAATGGCCCAATTTGGAGTTCGAATGAATTAGATATGAATTTTAGAAGTTTTGAGCCATTAAATGAATTTCTATAATTATTACCGAATTATTGCGCAATTATTATTTAATTTTTCAAAGGAAAAAGGCCGCCGCTGACGTCATCAAGTGAGGTCGGCGCCGACAGGCAGGCCCCACACGTCAGCGAGACGAGGTGGCGGTCCACCGTGGACCGGGACCACAAGGACGGTCCACCGCCGGTCCACGGGTTGGACGGCCCAGATCGGCCAAGCCGATCGGGCGGCTGAGGAGAGCGATGGCCGGGCACGGGCACAGTCGGGGCTGGCCCGACCGACCACAGAGGGCGGCGGCGCGCAGTCACTGGCGACGGCGGGCGGCGGGCGGCACAGGGAGCAACGGCGCGCAGCGCGGGAAGCGGCGAGAGGAAACGGAGGCAGTGAGGGAGAGGGAGGTGGCGGAGCTCACCGAGGGGCACGGCGACGGCGAGAGCAGCCGGCGGAGGGAGGCGGCGGCGCTCCACAGGTCGACAATGAGGAGGGGCTCCCGGCAGCGGAAGGCGGCGACCGGGCGGCGGGTGGGGAAGAGCGGGACGCGGCGAAGCCGGCGATACGGGCGATGCGTCGCGGCAGCAGCCGGGGTGAAGGCGAACGGCGACCGGAGGCGGAAAAAGGCGGCCGGTAGGGTGGCATGGCGGGGAGGTGGTTCTGGTGGTGGAGGGGAAAAAGGGATGGGCGGCCGGGCTTGCCCTCGCGGTGGTGGATCTAACAGAGGCAGTGGCGCGGCTTGAGGTGGTTGAGGATGGCGGCTAGAGGCGGCCGGAGGCGGTAGGCGGTGGTGCACGAGGCGGCGGTGTTCCGGAGGCAGAGAGGGGAAATGGAGTAGAGGCCGGGCTGCGGCACGGCGCCGCGAAGCCGACGGTGGTGGCGGATTGGCGCGGCGGTGGGTGGAGCAGCGGTGGCGGGCGGCCGGAGCTTGCCGGAAAGCGGCGGTGCGCGGGAGCGGCGTGGGGAGGGAGAGAGAGAGCGCGGCTGGCTCGGGTGAGGAGGGGAAAAGAGAGAGGATGCTCCGGGGTTCGTTTTTATAGGGTCAGAGCGGCGGAAACGGGGCCGAGAGGGGCGACAACCGGCGGGGAAGTGGGGCGCCGACGTGGGGTGGTGGCGGCTCGGCCGGCGCCGGTTTTGTGGGACGAGCGGGGGAAATGGTGGAGGACGTGGAGGGGATCGTGCCCACGTCGTTGGATGCGAGCTCGGGTGCGGGAGGGCGCCGGATTTTGCGGCGACGTGGGCGGCAATGGCGGTTGGGGTTGGCCGGCGAGAGGTAGGAGGAGGAGCTGACAGGTGGGGCTCACGGTCCCACCTGTCGGCCGGATGGAGAGAGAGGAGGGAAATCGGGGGACGTAAAGTAGACTTTCGCAAGGCGCGGGCCGGCCGAGAGAGGGAGGAGGCGCGCGGCCCACGGGAGAGGAGGGGAAGGCTTGGGCCAAGCCCAAAAGGGAGGGGATGGGAAGATTATTTTCTTTTCTTTTTATTTAAATTGATTAAATGAAATTTGTGCTATTAAAATTATTTCTTGAGCTCCGAAAATTCACGGGAAATTTCAGAGAGTATTTTAGGGCACAAAGAATATTGCAAAATATTCCCGGCCAATGATTTTTAAGGGAAAATTTTAATTCTCCCATTAATTCACTCGAATAAATTGCTTTAACTTTTAATATAATTTCTTGAAATGCATTATTAAATGATTTTTAAACCCGAACGAAAATCGGGGCGTTACAGTCTGCTCGCTCCCTCCCCTCTCAGAAGTTCACAACACCTCCCTCACTCTCTCCCCCCTCGCTGACAGGTGGGACCAGAGGCCCCACCTATCATCTTCATCCGCTTCCTACGGACGGAGCCGAAAATCGTCGACCCCGCCCACGTCGCCGCCTCCTTGCGCGTCACCTCGCTCCCACATGTAACCAACAAGATAGACAATAGTAAAAGTTAGAAGATGATAGCCGATCAACAAACATGGTGATGTTGCATTGTATTCCCTCCATCCCTAAATGTTTGACGCCGTTGACTTTTTTAAACATGTTTGACCATTCGTCTTATTTAAAAAATTTAAGCAATTATTAATTATTTTCCTACCATTTGATTCATTGTTAAATATACTTTTATATATACATATAATTTTACATATTTCACAAAAGTTTTTGAATAAGACGAATGGTCAAACATGTTTAAAAAAGTCAACGGCGTCAAATATTTAGGGAAGGAGGGAGTATCAGGCTATCAGCCAATGCACGCGTGAATTGGCTATATGTGAATAAGATTATGCTGATAGACTAGATTTAGATTAAATAGAGAGTGAAGTGCACGGACGGCCGTTAAACTTGTACGGATGTATCGTGTAGGTCCCTAATTTCTCAGAATGTATTTTTTGGAAGAAAGGAAATCATAATGGTGATATGTTGGGTCGAGGCATGAACAAAAAAACCCCATACCGAACCTGGCCGTCGGCAACTTGTATATTCATCCAGTGATATATTGCACATTAATATATCTTATTAGTTTTTATAAAAAAATCATAAGACCTGCAAGTTTCTTATTACGAGGAGACTACTAGTTGATGAGGGGATGGAATTGCATGGCATCTGTTTCTTGCAGGTGGCAACGGAATTGAATGCTTATGCACGGCCCAACTAGCGCACATTCAATTCCGGCCCAAGCATACGCACAGCTGATCTCTCTCGTGTCTTCCCCGATGACGGCGCGGCGGTTGGCGGCGGCCGGCAGTAGCAGTAGCCGCACACATTCACACACTACTCTGCTACACTACAGTGGCATCCATCGCATCGCATCGCATCGCTTCGAGATGGAGATCGATAGAGATGTCGTCTCCCCGGCTCACCATCCACTCCAATTAAGTTCCCATGCAAATGCTCTGGCCCGCCGCCCAATCAACGGACGAAAGGTCATTCTCCTCCTTCGATCCATCCATCTGCCAATTCACTAACCCAAACCTATCACCATCATCAGTTCATCACCGATCGAGATCATCGATGATCGTTTCTGCGGCAGCAGCATCTCTGCCCCCTTCTATCGCCTGCAAAAGACAGAACACACAATGTCACACTACCTGCTAATTGCTACTCCAACTCTGCCTACGTCATTTTGATTCCAACATGCATCATGTCCTATGGCCCATTGTCTGCCCTGTTCAAACACATTTGTATTAATCAAAATTTCGGACTGAAATTTCCAAAATTCCAGTCATTTCGGAACCTCCCAATACGATATTATTTCGGCCGAATTTTTTATTTTTTTAATTTTTCTTGAATTTTGGTAATATTTGTTCAAATTTTACTAATTTATATAATTTCGAAAATTTCGCCATATCAGCACTCTCCGATACAAATACCGAAAACAAAAGATTGAACCATGATTAGTCCTCTGTCACCCACGATTTTTCCTAGAAATTTTACATAAATTTAGGGCTTAAGTAGCTGATAGAGCTATATATAAATTAATATATAATCCTAGACTGAACATCAACATGGATTCTGATGAGTAGTATAGTAGTTACTAGTCACTAATTATCAAAAGAACAGTTTAATTAATTAATGATTAAAGAACAAGTATCAGAGTATAGTAACTACTAATAATACCTGTCACAATCTTCCATTGATTTCTGAGTTGTAAGTACAAAGAGATGAGATTGCAACACGGTAAGTAGAGCACACACACATGCATGCGTACTAGCTAGTAGACTACTAGTAGATCGCCTTTTTCTTATTACACCAACCAGCAAACTACGTCGAGATCACTCACTCACTCACTCAAAGCTGACTGACTGACTGACTGACTGACTGACTGAACAAGATAATTAATTTAAGTAAGTTAACTAGCTGCTAATGACACACTCTTACCACATTGTAATCCAATAATTAACCAACTAATTAAAGTTCGGTAGTAATCCACACTGCTAAATTCTGTCCGTCATCGATCCGGCCATCGTCGTCGTCTTCTTCATCAGTAGCGAGAATCTGTCGTCGTCGAGATCAGTCGTCGTCACACGGCGGCGGTGATCTCGATCACCTCCGGCTTGTTCTGCAGCAGCTCCTTGTCGGCGGCGGCGGCGGCGGCGACGCCGTCGGCCGCCTGCTCGGCGGCCACCACCTCGACCTTGTGCACGCCGAGGATCGGGATGGGGCTCACGGACAGGATGGTGAAGGCGTGCGTGCCGGCGGGGAGCTCGATCACCCTCTGCGTGGCGGCGGCGGCGGCGGAGATCGGGGACATGGAGTCGGACGTCGTCGGCAGCACGGCCGTGTTCCTCGGCTTCCGGTACCAGAAGTAGAGCCCCATCTGCACGCAGCTGAAGAAGAAGCCGCCCACGTTCGGGTACTGCATCGCACCAAGAAATGCAAGTCAGCTCAAAACAATTCACAACAATGGCGTCGTCGAGCAGCTCTATCAATGGCGGCAGCTGAGCTCACCATGACGTAGGGGTCCTTGGTGAAGAGGCCGTAGCAGAACCACGCGACGGCGCTGAGCGTGAGGCAGACGGAGAGCCCGATCGGCATGAACTCGACGCTCTTGGTCTTGATCACCTTGAACTGCAAGCATCATCATCATCAACAGAAATGCTCAGCTACATAATGCAATTGATGTCAGTGAAATGTAGAGGGGGGGTAGAGAGCTTAAGCTTACGATGATGGAGAGAGGGGCGACGAAGACGGCCATGGAGAAGGCGAGGCAGACGCTGCCGAGGAACTTGACCTGGTGGGGCTTGGGGACGAGGTAGAGGGTGGTGACGACGATGAGGGCGAAGGCGGCGACGTCGAGGAGGAGGAAGAAGGCGAGGGTGCGGAGCCTGGCGCGGCGCGGCGCGTAGACGAGGTAGAGGACGATGTAGGCGGCCTCGACGCCGCAGCCGAAGGCGTTGATGGTCAGCAGCGGCCTCGAGTTGGTCTTCACCAGCGCGTAGAAGATCCACAGCACCGAGCTGAAGAGCGCCACCACGTACGGCACCGAGCTGTACCCTCCCGTCGACTTCTTCTTGTACACCTGCAAGAACGTCGCCCTGCAATTTTTCAGAGATATAAATTCCAGTTCGTCGTCAGAGATATTCAGATGTTTCTCTCGAGATTTTGATGGTGACAGTAGGAATGGAGTACTCACACTGGTGCAAGGAACACCAGGAAGGAGATGATGTTTCCTGCAAAAGAAACAAGACAGAAAACGACATCGTTAATTAATATATGATCAGTGGAGTAACATTCTTTCAGAGTTTCAGCTGGTTCACACGGATGCAGATATGTTAGCTAGGTTAGGATAAAATAAAATAAAATTTTAGTTTGCATATATATACACTGTCAGTAAGATAGTAATGTTCTTTCAGAGTTTCAGAGATGTTAGCTAGGTTAGGATCGAGAATTGAAACTGGTTGATGGGTCATTAATTGGTCATTTTTGTTTACTGACAAAAATCAAATCAGTTTGTTACCACCTAGCTAGCTCTGCTTTTGTTTAGTGACAGCGACGAAGAGGAGCAGATGCACGCCTCCCTCACTGCTCAACCGATCTCCATTTCAAGAAATCGGAATTAAATTAGCAGAAGCTAATCTGGGAGCTAGCTTAGGTAGAGTACTAGAGTGCATGCATGTTGAGAAAGTTGGCAATACTAATTAATGACCTATGTGTGGAATTCCTAGCTGAAACAAACCCTGCTTAATTTGATGCAATTATGCAGCTAGATAGTATATGTGTTTATGTTTGTGTGGCCAGAAACTGGGCATGTGTTGAGGCAAAAAGGTGAAGAGAGAAAAAGTGCTAGGTCTTTTGAAGTGAGATTCCTGCTCCATGCATGAGCTGAAGCTAGGGAAGTGACTTGTGCCCATCACTTGTAAACAAGAAAAAAGCAGATCAATGGAGACAGAAAGCTCAAGAACACAAGGACATAAAAAAAAGGAGAAGATTTTTTAACAACATTGCCCTGCTGCACTGTGTGAACTGCTGAACAGATATGCATTCCTAGAAGCATCAAAAGCGTGTGTGTGCTGTGCACAATGCAATGGTGCAGACAACAACTAGTGTATGGAGAAATTAAACAGCAATTAACCTGAATTTGATCATTAGCATATGAAAACTAAAATGATCTTCAGTTGCATTTGTCCATGGATGATCATGGCTGTGAAGATGATGATGATGATGATGATGATGAAATTAAGTTTGAGCATTATGCATTGGTTGCATGCTTTACCTGCAACACCGGAGAGGGTGACCGCCGGGTTAGCCATGGACAAGAAACCTCCTGCCATTGCTACTGGTGATGAAGGTTATTAACTAACTCTAAGGTGTTAATCAGTGAGAAGGTTAGGAAGAGGAGAGGAGACACCAGCTAGAAACTAGCCAGAAATCCCTTCCAACTTCCTGACACAAGAGATGCTAGCTAGAGAGGAAGGCTTAAGTGCTACTACAACTGCATGTGTGGTTTGGCCTTGGCCATGGCTCAGTGTTTATATAGTTGGAGACCCTCCACTTTTGGTGGTGTACAGTAGGGGGAGATGCATATCTAACCTTTGCTTTTTTTTCTTGTGCTTGATATTTCTTTTTCACTCTGATATATCATTTATATGAATTTTCTTTTTCTACCTCTAGATCTGTCCCTCTCTCCACTACTCTGAATATGTGGTCATATGAATGCATAACTGAGGGGCAATATGACACGTATGACCACTCAGTGTGTCTGTTGCCATTTGGAGAGCTGGAGCTCTCATATAGGTTTCTTTTACTTGTTACAATAGTTGAAATGTTATTGAAAATTTTCTTGATTTGTGTAGTTTTATTTGTAGAAGGATGTACAACCATGGACAATGATGCAACTTAATTAGTAACATGTTGGGTGATCCATCAATCGACTTCTATCGTCAGAAAAGAATTGCAGAGTAGTTCGTGTGCAATCAAGTGACTAAGCTCAAATCGAACAAAGAGTTAATTCACACACTGTTCAAGAATGAATTGAGTGCAATAACACTGATAATACAATCAGCACATTTATCAAAGAACATGAAAATAACAGAGCAGAGGGAAGTCATCAAATAAATCTCATGAAAAGAACAGAGGAAGAAGGGAACATATGAAAGAGAAGGGTAGTCCCTTTCACCATGAACAAAGTGCTTTGGTGTTCAAAAGAGAGAAAAAAAAGAGCTTCTAACAATTGCAGCATTAATTTCTTTGTATCAGCATCTGTTGTACCACTAACACCAACATGCCAAGATGTTTTGCACAATTCACTCTGCAGGTTTTCAAAGCTAGCAAAAGTGACGGAATCTTCATTAAGAACCTTAACTAATTTCTTGTCTAGCTAATTAAACCATAATATGCCTATTCTTAGAGAGAGGTAACTTGAAGAAAGGGATATGTCAGTTTGTTGCCGCAACATTAACTCTGCTTGTTAGATCGATCTTAATTAGGTTACTGACCAGAAGCATTCACCTTTTCCTGAAGTTATGGAATGCTGATCAATGGAATTAATTCCAAAAGCTAGCCAACAGTTTGTTAGCAACAGGTTATTTGGCGAGTAATTAATTCCAAAAAGCTAACCATGTTTCATCATAAGTCAGTTCTGTTCTCCCTCTTCATTCTCTCTCTTTTAAATTACTAAAATATCTGACTAAAGTAATTTTATAGTCCTCGAGAAGCTAGTACTAAAAGTTAATATATTTTAATATATTTTCTAGTGTAAAATTTCATAACTCTCACTACCTCACATATCAGGAGGTATCAAAATTTACACTAAAAGATTTGGTACCTGATCGTAAAATTTCTGATCTAATTCGCATTGTTGAGAGAATTGCATATCCTATCTTACTATAAAGTTATAACCCGCTAATCCTAAAGCTCAACATGCAAACCCACCACTTCATCGTCCACTAGCAATAGTTACATACAAAACTTATGTAAGCATGCAACATCATATGTAATTCATTGAATTCTACAAATCAACATCCAATCATCTTCCTTCACATTATTTTTCACAATACTTTTAACATATCCATCATTTTTATAATAATTAACATATATTCATCCATATAATCAAAGTGCGGGATATCATATTTGATCTACAATCTCATACAGAGTCTACTAAATTTATTTCTCTCTGAACATAGTTTGACAAACCAGTTTTATTTGTTGTTAAAAGCTAATATAATTTTTACTTTTATCTCGATTATTAAAAAAATAGTCACTTAGTAATTTCCGCAGCAAAGCGCAGAGAATCACATAGTTAGCTAATGTTGCAAGTGCCCTATGAAAATATTTGTCAACAAATCCAAATGTTTGCTGAAAACGGGCATGCAAAAAAAAATCGATAATGCCGTCGTACTAGTTTATACAAGCCAAAAAATTCACCTCCAACTAATCATTTCATATTCCCAAGTGTTTACGCCATGCATATCTGTAACAAAGAAATTTCACAAGATTCAGTAAAAGTTCAACAGTATCCCTCCCTACTGACCCCACTATCTTGAAGGTGGCATTGCTATAGAAAAGAAAAATCAAAATCCCATTTCGCCTCCTTGTTTTGGGGCTGAGAATATCATTCCTCGTATCCTAAAAAGATGAATGTCATTCGCAAAGAAGATCTTTGATGCAAAGAGAAAACTGATACAGTGAAAAGTGTAAGAAAAGTTGCCCATATATATGTGTGTTCTAAGTATATGAACAGTTTAGCCGACAAGAGCAAAGATTTATATATGTATTGACTACTGGTGGGGTAAACTTGAACACAGAATACATCAGCTTCTTCCATGAACACTGAAAAGTGCTTCATCAATAACAGTACTGCACATTCTGTCCTCCACTGAGCTAAGACCAGAGCTCCGATTGGAGGAGGAAATATACATAGTGGAATCGTACATAAGTACAAATTATCTGTTGAAACCGTGTGAATTAGCAGTATTAATTAGCTACCTAGGAATTAGCGGTATTATTAATTTGTAATCAAAGTTAGTATATAGTACTTTCTTGTTTGAACAATGTAGCTGCAATGATTGTAAATTATTCAGTGTATTTACTAGCAGGAATTTGCTGCTTAATTTCAAGAAGATACTGGATGTGATTACTATATGTGTTAATAAGGATTTTACTTCTGCTTTTTGCATATTCCCCCAAAATTAAAAGGGATTTTACTTATATAGATATTAGAGAAAAGTCTGTCCTGAAGGTCTTGTCTATTTGATTGGAAATCGACGTTGGAGAGGTAGGTGTTTGAAAATTCAGAGGTTGTTATACCTTTCCCTGGAAAAAAAAAACTTTCAGAAATTCAGAGGTTGTTCTGCAAGCCTTCATATCGATCATTTGTCTCTGACCCCAGAAGAGATTTCATGCCAAGAGACAAGCTAACTTTTCACAAAAGAAAAAAGGGGCCAAGAAAATAAGTTATTATGTCTTCCTCTTTTTCTTCCCAAGGGACTTGGAATGCAGAGTTTGGGTCCCTTGAGGAATCAGGATTTCAGGTCATACCACCTGCAAAAGCGCGTCACATTATTGTCATGCTTTCTTAGTTTTTTTTTCTTGGCATGGATGATTCATACTTTCTGGGCATATCGACATAATTCATGTCTTATATATCTATATAGGTCATGCAAAATGGAACTCATATAAATGTAGAGAAAAGATGCAGACGAAATAAGCAGGATGTATTTTTCCAAAAAGAAATGCAAGGAAAACAGCTAACAAGTGCATGCAATTTAACACATAGTTTTCTTATACACAACAAGCATGCTAAAATTGTAAGTGAATGGCAATCTTAGCACATTTGCACTTGTTCAACTAGGACAGTTTATGCCCACAGAAATGCATACTACAATAATACTAGTACTAGTACTACTACTATGTATGTTCCATAAACCAGCTATAGCCCAAGAGAGTAGATTTGCTTATAACTTACAAGAGTTTATGTGGATATGTAGCTGGCCTCCAATTCACCTGTTTCCAAAACTTGGTATATGAATGCAACACTTATCAATAAATGTAATGACACCTCAATATTCTCCATCAACTCCACTATGCAATAAAAATTCAGTCACCCAGTTACAGAAAATGATTGTGAAATTTGTTGCTTGCTTGTATATCAGTATGGTTCGTCTGTTATGCTCCATATCAAAATTAGGCAAGATGGGGAGCAGTTAGTTCTTATCATGCCAATATTAACTACCAGTTGTTCACAAGGCATGCAAGATGATGCGCATAAATATATGTGTTTCCATGCTAATAAGACAGCTACAAAGATGTTAAGTTGTTATCTTATCATGCCTAAAACTCCAAAAAGGAGAACTTGAGCTGGAGATTCTCCACAACAGCTCTAGTTTTGACTCTAGTGCAGATGTGCTGTAAAAAACAAACTCTTAGGCAGCTCCAGCTCTCCATTTGTTTCTGAAACCCTACCAAAAGGTAAGTGTGCTTCTCCAGCTTCTTGTACTCAAGGTGGTTAAATGCTATCTTGCTTAAAGAAAGATGGTGACTGATGTTTTTTTCTTCAATGTATCTAAACCAGTAGAATTAATAGCACATGGTTTTTCAGTTGGAGCATGTTAAATTTGCTCCCTTTCACTATCTCTCTCTGATGCAACTACACATCATGAACCGGTAGACTGAAAGTTGTGGTTGATAGTTGCCCAGTACATGTTACCAGTGAGCAGTGGCTGGGAAATGCAAGTGAGAAGCGCACAGAGGAGTTGCCCACTAACTCTGGTCAATGAGATTAGTTACACTGTGCACCTTAACCAAAAGGTGAATTTGCATAGACTCCCCTGGTTAATTTGCAGTGTGCAAACAATTAAAGGTTGCAAACTTCGAAAGAACACTTCCCAGTTTGAGGCTCTGCCCTGTTCTTTGTCGAGGAATGTGTGAATTGTTGACCGCGCACACTTCTCGAGCTTTTAAACGGTATGGTTTCTATTTAAAATTTCTATATATGATTTTTTTTTAAAAAATATTATTTTTAATCCATTTTCAACTTTATGATAGTTAATTCATCCGTTTGTAACCTCGAATTATTGTCGAAAACAATTCAATTATTTAGCCACTCATCACATAATAACATACCACGCGAGATGGGATTGAGTCCTATCGCTCGCTCTCAGATAGATCGTTATCTCTCAATTCCCTATTCAAGGAAATTTGGAAATGACACGGATTATCGCTATGTCTCCCCCTTGTCATTTTTCTTTTCTGTCTAGGGGCCTGTCTAGGGGAGTTTAAGATTCTGAGAAGCAGCTGCTGAGAAGCTAGCTGGTGAGAATCTGGAGAAGCTGGAAAACCCAGCTTCTGACTTCTAGTTCATTTTTCAGATTCTACAACTACATATTCTCAGAATCTAGGTAAAAAGCTGGATAGTTTAGGAGAGCTTCTGGCAACTGGAGATTCTAGGAGAAGCTGCAGCTGCTAGAAGCTCCCCCAAACAGGAGTCCCTCTCGCGGTCGCATGTCAGCAATGCAAAA